ATGGCCATCACCGACGCAGTAAATACTAAAAAATATTAAAAAAGTAATAAGGTAAACACTTTTATTTCGAATTTCTCAGTAAATATTTTCTCCCTCAAATGCTCTTAATGTGTCCTAATTTTCTCTGATTTCCGACAATGAAAGACGTCCCTGCGGTTAACTAACGAGGATCGCTAACTTTGACTTGATTCTTGGGTCTATAAATTGTATTGCCGCTTCGTGTTACTTAAGAGCTAATTAAGCTGAGCTTGTTTGAACAAGTTACAGCTGTCGACTTCACAAAAATTCGCAAGCAATACCCGGCATTTACCTTGGATAAAATAAGTAATTCGGGAGAATTAAAAGGAATATTTAAGTCATGGATTTGATTTTGTGCAGGCGTTGATGATCGGAACACTTTCAGTTTCGTCTGCGTGTCATGCACACAATCATGAACGTGTTTTGCACAAGCTTTCGTGTCAGGCTAACATAGGTATTAATTTAATGTGCTCCCGTATTTACGATGCATTTGATCAAAAACCTAGAAACATTTCCAGCTTATTTCACGTGTTTATGTTTATTATTTTATATAGTTTAAAAGTAATTTTTCCTTTTTTGATAGACTGCTTAGATTCTCCCTTTTAACTGTACTGTTACACTGATTTCCATGTTAAATATTGAGAAACGATGTCTTTTCTTCAAATGTCACCTAGTGATTTATTGGAAGCGTCCTTTCAACTAACTGCCTTTGATTTTTAGGAATCCAATTCATCAACTGGAAATGATAGATTGGTATCTGAGTAAAGTTTACCTTTAAATGGGTAGCAGAAATTATAGCCAGGTAAGCCTGATGAAATGCCAGGGGAAAGGGGATGGACTGGCATTTCTTAACGTAACTTAACTCTTTATGCAATAGGAAATAGGCAAACAACAGGTGGCACCTTTTAAAGGACATTAAACACGTTATGATAAGTCTGCAGATTCCTTAGACAACAATAGTGATCAACAATTCATAAACATCGGTCGCAGTTGCGAAGTTTACCAATATATTTCAGTGTTTTGCATTTGGAAAACTCATTTTTTTTATTTATACGATGACTAGCCCTCTTTCTCACAAATATGAAAATTATTCTGAACCTGGTTAGCTCAGAGGTGATTTAGACAGTAAAAATAATGTCAGTAAATATAAACAGCTACTGATCCTATTTTGTAAACTTATAAATAATTGTTCTCAGTTCCTCAGGATCGGATGTGCTATTTTTTTCTTCTCATTTTTCAAATGATATATATGAATGTTTGAATGTTATATCTGGGGACGAATTTTTCCTGCAAAAAAGTTTGGGCTCCAGAGACACAATGGTGACCTATTGACATGAAAAAGAAAAAGAAAAAAACACACTTGAAATATAGATCCATTTTAGGTGAACGTCGTTGAACGTTATAGAAAACAAACAAATTGAGTTTGAAAGGTGCACGCATTTCGGCTGGGGAACATAGTTGCATTTACTGCTCTAGTTTAGTGGAACAATTTATACAACAATAGGTTTTTCAATGCTTACTCAATGGGATGTGCATCTTTAACGCTGTGTTTTATCGATACCATGGCCATCACCGACGCAGTAAATACTAAAAAATATAAAAAAAGTAATAAGGTAAATACTTTTATTTCGAATTTCTCAGTCAATATTTTCTCCCTCAAATGCTCTTAATGTGTCCTAATTTCTCTGATTTCCGACAATGAAAGACGTCCCTGCGGTTAACTAACGAGGATCGCTAACTTTTACTTGATTCTTGGGTCTATAAATTGTATTGCCGCTTCGTGTTACTTAAGAGCTAATTAAGCTGAGCTTGTTTGAACAAGTTACAGCTGTCGACTTCACAAAAATTCGCAGGCAATACCCGGCATTTACCTTGGATAAAATAAGTAATTCGGGAGAATTAAAAGGAATATTTAAGTCATGGATTTGATTTTGTGCAGGCGTTGATGATCGGAACACTTTCAGTTTCGTCTGCGTGTCATGCACACAATCATGAACGTGTTTTGCACAAGCTTTCGTGTCAGGCTAACATAGGTATTAATTTAATGTGTTCCCGTATTTACGATGCATTTGATCAAAAACCTAGAAACATTTCCAGCTTATTTCACGTGTTTATGTTTATTATTTTATATAGTTTAAAAGTAATTTTTCCTTTTTTGATAGACTGCTTAGATTCTCCCTTTTAACTGTACTGTTACACTGATTTCCATGTTAAATATTGAGAAACGATGTCTTTTCTTCAAATGTCACCTAGTGATTTATTGGAAGCGTCCTTTCAACTAACTGCCTTTGATTTTTAGGAATCCAATTCATCAACTGGAAATGATAGATTGGTATCTGAGTAAAGTTTACCTTTAAATGGGTAGCAGAAATTATAGCCAGGTAAGCCTGATGAAATGCCAGGGGAAAGGGGATGGACTGGCATCCCATCCAAGGGGTGTAGTTACTCCCACTCACTTCATGTGAGGAAACCAGTATTATAAGCTCAGGGCCTGGATGGGCCACTGCTCAAATACAGACTTTACCTAACTACCCACAGCCTCTTAAATAATTTGAATTGCTGTTGCAACAAATTATATGAACTTGCAACACTTGCCCAATTTTTTTTGAGAGTGGATTCTCTCTTAGAGTATTTTCAACAATAAAAGTAAACGATTAGTTTAATTATTTGTAGCTTCATTTCAAAATGTTTATTCTTTTTCTGTTATTTTCTTTTTTTTCTCTTTTTGATTCCCCCTCTTGTCATTCATAATTATTCAAAAATTCATATCATTACAATATTATTGAGTAGAAGAGAGTGGTTATCAAAGTCAATAACAAACAAATATGAAAACAGCGGGGCAGCGGTGTGTTATGGGAATTCACTGATTGTGCACGAACATCAAATATTGAGCGCACAATGTGACTGAATAAATTAAGGGAACGTTTCTATTGGTCAGTTAGTTAAACCTGCGTGGATTAGTATTAAATGTTGTATGTGATGGAGATTGAAAAACCTAACTTAATATGCAACTAGGCAATCTGTCACGTTTTATTGCCATTATCCTTGTACGAGAGTTATGTGGTCGATAGCAATTGGTTTTCTTGTATCGTAACTGTGTACTTGCCTATTTCTTCTCAATAAAAGCGTTTACGACAACTTCACGAGCAGAGGTAAGAACACTCAGCTTTAGAGTGACAATTGGAGTGAGGTAAGGGTGTGTGATGTCAGCACTCTTCTTCAACATTGCGATTGTTTGGGTGCTGCAGCGAACAACTGAAGACCAGACCAGAGGCATCCGATAGACATTATTCTCTGCATACGAGGACCTCGACTTTGCTGATGACCAGGCACTGCTATCTCACACCTATCATCATAAGCAAGAGAAAACATCCCGTCTCTGTGGCCTTGTTAAACAGATTTGCCCGTAGATCGGCTAAAACAAGACGGAAGTTATGATTCTGAATGTCCCAAACCCCCAGCTGATCAGAGCGAACAGAGAGGATCTTCCAACGACGGGGGAATTCACGTACCAGGGCAACACAGTCAGACATGATGGAAGAGCAAACAAGGACATCAAGAACCGCTTAGTGAACGCCATAAATGTAGTCAGAATGCTCAACTATGTATGGAGGTCCCAGCAGCAGAGCACCAAGACCAGGCTAAAACTATATCATAGCTGTGTCCTATCCACCCTGATATATGGCTCTGAATGCTGGAGAATGTCAGAAGGCGATCTTGCAGATTGTCAGTCTTTCACAGTCTTCTTAAATTTTGTGTGAGACATTTGATCATCATATTCACGCGGTTGTCATTGAAAAAAAAACTTATAATGTTTTTCTTTTATCAAAACTAAAAGTCAAGATGGTGTCAATTCTTTGTTTCAGGAAGTGATTTCAATGATATTGAAGAGTTTGCCAAGTCATAAAATTGGTTTCCAACCTTTATCAGGGCGTGTTTTTCCAAATAAAACTTTAAGTTTCTTTGTAGAATCGCCAAAGCAATATTTTTGATGAGTGTTGTCTACAAGATAACATCTCTGTTTACACAACTTAATTACTGTCTAGAACGTTGTAATATTACAGTTAAGGAAGTTTCTAGGCCGACGATTTTTCTAACTTCCTCTTTCGTTCTGGATACGCAAATAAATGTAAAAAGGCTGTAAACCAATGCTTAATTTAGAGCTTATATTGACTTTTCCGCTTCTTTATTCGACAACAATATGTTCTTCCAATATCCTCTCGGTTTTAGTATTAAGGTTTTTAATTCAAGCATAAATTTAAGGTGGTTTAAATTAAAATTTCAAATTTGACTGTCACTTAACTTCTGCGATCTTTTATGGCCAACAAAAAAAATTAGTTCCCCTATGCAATTCCGAAAATTATTAATAACAAACTGGATCTTAATTTTTTTCTGAGAAAGAGTTTTAATTTTTTTCAGCCATTTCTTATCGCAGAAATGAGAGTTGTTCAAACTCTTTGAGATATCTTATCCCTTTCGTGAACGGCGGATTAATATGTTTGTCTATTAACCAGCTGTGAGAGGAGATTGTTTAGACAAGATACGGAAAAATAGAAGCAACATCTTTTCTTTCACTCGAAAGATATATGTCGATTATTAAAAGCGACTCAAAAACACTTATCCGGAGGTAAATAACTGAGTGCAATTAAAATAAACCTCTTTCAGCAACAACGACGTACTGCACGTGCTCTCGCCGAACAGAAACATAAAATGGAGTTGTTATTTGGCCCTACTACTTCTAACTTGATGAGAATGATAACAACGATGACATACAGACATCTTTTAATATTCATTAATTGCAATGTGTTTAAAGATAACATGTGATGGAAAATAACATTAGTTTTTCGGTGTTGGTAGACAGTGTTGGGTATCGCGCACACCAGCGGGTTTCGCAGATCAGTGCTTCAAAAAGTCGACATCAAAGACTGTGCAGAAGTGTAAGTTACTTATCTTTTCGCTGAGTTTATTGACCAAAAGCAGTGATGACAAGTAAACTCTCCCTTGAGCTTGCCACAAGAGAGGAGGCGTTAGTTTGGACTGAAACAGTTCTGTTTGCTTTAACCAATGTTGTGGCTGTCTTCGGAAATCTTCTCACTTTTTACGCCGTGTACAGAAACCACAGGCTGCGAACAATTACCAACATGTTCGTAATAGCTCTGGCTGTGAGCGATATTCTGATGTGTACCTGCTGTATGCCTTTAACAGTTGTCACTCTGTTCCACGGCCGGTGGATATTTGGCGAATCTTACTGTCTCTTTCAAGGTTTTGCAGCGCTGACTTTCGGAATTGTCGCCATGGTTACCATGGGTGTCATTGCGGTCAACCGATTCTTCTGCGTTGTAAAACCAGAGAAGTATCTCTTGTTGTTTAAGAAGCAAAGAGCGTTGATATACATTGTCATTGTCTGGTGCCTAGCCTTCGCTGGATCTGTGCCCCCGTTTTCCTTTGAGAGCAAAAATAGCTTTAAATTCCAGCCTGGAAAAGCAATGTGTTTGTACACGTTTGAAAGCAACATGGCTTACACTGTTACAATCGAATGTGTTTACATCGCAGCACCCTTAACAATCATAGCGGTCTGCTATGTCAAAGTGTTCCGCTCAGTTTCAAGATCAAATCGTGTTTTCTGTCCAGGCGTTGAACCCTGTCAACTCCGCGCGAATGTGGAAGAAGCAAAAGTAACGAAAACTTTAGTAGCAGTTCTGCTTGGCTTCGCGTTCTGCTGGCTTCCCATCTCCGTTATGGATAACGTGGACGCCGCGCGCGGAGAACCGACGATACCACGACAGGTTTACCTGACGTACGGGTTCTTGGTCTATCTGAGTAGCACTATCAACCCATTCATTTATGGTATCATGAATAGACAGTTCAGGCGAGAGTACAAGGCCCTCTTGCGCAAGATTACTTTCTTTCGGCGCCAAAGTGGCAACAACAACGGCAGCCACAACACTGACAATGATGCATGAATTATTTTCACCATCCTCAGCAAACAGCAAACATTTCTGTCTGATTACACGGATATGACGCTTACACTTTCCTATAGGAGCGCAAATCGGGCTGTTGTCAACCAATCACATTCGAGAGTAGTGTTATAGTTTTGAATAATGGTGGTAATAGAACTGAGTGGAGTCCAATTCATAATGGTAATTGAACTGATTGGAGTGCAATTTGTGCTGAAATCTTACAACTTCAAAATTGAACGAGCACGCAGCGCGAGTTCGATTTGAAATCACAAGTATGATTTCAGACCAAAATTGCACAACACGAGGTTCAATTACCACTTTATTACATCCATTTTGAAATCGCCCAAAAACAGGACTTGGTCAGTTCAAATATTTTATTAATACAATACTGAGCCGGTTTGAAATTAAATTCATCTATTTTTTGGGAGGAAATAATAAGAAATTGGAAAGAAAAGTTGCAAAATTTGCCACATGATGCTCCATGTCTTCCAGCAATTTGATCGGTTACTTTAAACAAGCCTTGAAGTCTGATTGGTTGTTTTGTTTTTAGTGTAGCCTCCTCATTGACTGGGAAAAAGATGCGATTTAAAGCAAAAAATGGTGCAATGATTTCGGCCGTTTACCTGAGAGATTCTTCTTTAGGTAAGGACAAAGTCGATAAATGAGAATTTTGTAAATTGAAAATTACGACCATTTTTGTTTTTGTAATCATGACTCAACGCATTTTTCCATCTTAAGAGTTAGTGCCAACGCTTTCTACGAGTGTTATTCGGGTATTGTCGATTCATTTACTTTCATTCATTAATTAAGTCGGCTTTTCTTGTCAGTAAAGGGCTATTGTGTTTATATGATGAACAAAATAATACATGATTGCTTGTAGACATGGGATTTCTCTTCTTGTGTTCAACTCGACATCTCACTCGTTCACTGCGTTCACTCGTGAGCTATCGAGTTAAACACTCGAGGAGAAATTCCATATCTACGCGCGCCCATGTATTATTCTCCATTTATTTTCTACTGCTTTATAAACTAACACTTTTTACACTTGCAATCTAGATTTAGGTTGAAATGGTAACACCCCATTTTAAATAACCTCAAAATGCAGCAAATTACTTACGACACTTACTGTGCTTAAATTCTAAGGAGTACATTCATAATTTTTATTTTACAATGTTTTATGCACTTAAAAATTCCACACGTACATCACCTGTACTTTTATTGCTTCATTTACATCGACTGTCATATTGGAAAAAGGATTATTTTACCTGATAAATTCACAGCTCATATAATTAACGACTATAAAACTAATATGACGGATTACCGAAAATTTCTAACCCCTTCAAAATGGAAATGTGGCAATTTTATTACAAAAACATTCTTTGGTGTACTTTTCTGAGTGCTTCTCCCGGAAGTCTCTGAAAGCTCTCAGAATGACCAGACTTATTAATCGGCGTATAAGATGGCGGAAGTTAAATGTCAGTTAAAATTGATATTTTAATTTGAACGACCTTAAATTTTTGCTTGAATTGAAAACCTTAACTTAACAATCGAGAGGATTTTGTAATAACATCTTATTACTATATAACGAAAAGAAAAAGCCTTCTTAAGCAGTTAATCAACCATTGATTTATGTGCTTCAATTCATTTATGCGTCCATACTGAAAGGAAAAGTTAAAAAAGCGCCGTTTTATTAACTTCTTAAAGTGTAAATAGAAACTTGCGAAAAAGTAATTTAGAAGTTTAACAAAAAAAACTCATGAAATACAATCATGCCCCTTCATCGAATTTCCGAATTTTTTAAGAAATATAGCTGGGAGTAGACAGAGATGTCATCTTGTAGACAATATTCACCCTAAAAACCGTTTGAAGTACCGCTGTTCACGTGCTCATACCTGCTTGTGGAAAGTTCTAGAACAAATATTCACGCTCAATATCGAAAACCTCGCCCTTACGACGCCGAAACGTCCTAAACATCCCCTTAATTTCCTCCTGCAATATACTTGACCCGCATGGTGACATTTTTCGAAGAAAGAAAAACATAATTAAATTTTTTTTTTTCATAAAAAAACTTTTGGACATCTCAAACGGATCTCAAACTTACTTAAAATGATTCACTGAGATAGTACACGCCTCGTGATTGGTCATTGGTCGGTCCGTAAACGACTTAAATTTTCAGACTAACTTGTGTGGAACACAAAGCCAACCAAGAAAAGTCAATAAAAAGACGTCATAATTGTTTAAACTACTAGCAATAATTTTCTTCCTTTTTTTGCGGCCTTCTGTTTTCCTCGCTGAAAAGACACTGTTTTTCTTAATTTTTTTTCTCGATTACTTCATTTCAAACTTGCACTTTTTTATGATTTAAACATTGCCCAAGGTAAAATTATTTGCAATCTTGATTTAGATTGAAATGGTAATACCCCAGTTACTAAAGTTATTAAATAACAAAAAAAAGCAAATTACTTTCGACACAAACTCTACTTAATTCCAAGAAAACTAGGAGGACATTTATACTTTTTACTTCATAATTTTAGATTCACTTGAGAATTCTACACATACATCACCTGTTATTTAATTGCTTCATTTACATTGACTGTCATATTGAAAAATCGTTGTTTTTGGACGACAATAAACTAAATTACCGAATTTTTTTACCCCTTCTGAACTGGAAATGTGGCAATTTTCTTAGCAAAACATCCTTCACTGTACTTTTCTAGGAGATTCTCTCGGAAGTCTTTGAAATATTTTCAGATAGACCAGGCTCGCGTGAAGAAATTTCTTCCTCCACTCTCAGAGCTGTCGTTGGTGTTCCGGCGACGAAGACAAAGAATCCTCTTAAACACGACTTTGTACTCCCGTCTGAACTGCTTGTTCATGCAACCATATATGAAGGGGTTTATAGTGCTACTAATATATGCCAAGAATGAGTATGTAAGATAAGCTTGTCTCGGCAAAGTGTGCTCACCTCGGGCGGCGTCAATGTTATCCATGACAGAAATTGGGAGCCAACAACATGCAAACCCAACCAGAACAGCTACTAGAGTCTTCGTGACTTTTGCTTCTTCCACATTGGCGCGGAGTTGGCTGAGGTTATTTTCTTGGCAGAAAACGCGATTTGATCGCAAAACTCTTCGGAAAACTTTAACATAGCAGACTATGATAATTGTCAAGGGCGTTGCGATATATAAACACTCAATGGAGATAGTGTAAGAAATGTTACTTTCAAATGTGTACAAACACATTGCTTTTCCAGGTTGGAAATCAAATGTACCTCCTTTGAAGAAAAACGGGGGTACAGATCCAGCGAGAGCCAGGCACCAAACTACAACAATGTACCCAAGAGATTTCTCCTTCTTAAACAACAAGGGATACTTTTCTGGCCTAACAACACAGAAATATCGGCTGACTGCAATGATTCCCATAGTTCCAAGACTGTTCGTTCCAATTGTCAATGCCTCAAATCCTTGAAATCGACAAAACCGTTTACCAAACATCCACCGACTGTGAAACAAGGTTAAAACTGTAAAAGGCATGCAGCAAGTGGACATCAGAATATCGCTTACAGCCAGTGATATGACGAACATGTTTGGAAGCGTGCGGAGCCTTTGGTTTTTGTACACGGCGTATAATGTAAGAAGATTGCCGGAAAGGGCGGCAACATTGATAACGGCCAACAAAACTGTTTCTGTCAAAATTAGAGAATCAGTTCTCGCGGCAAGCTCGAGAGAAAGAACCTCCGTCATGGCTTAGGACTTAAGCTGGTGAGTCTTATCTCCCCATCAAGATAAATCGCATTCTAGAAGCGGCTCAGCTGAAAGTCGACAGAGAGCTGTCAAACTGCTTTCAGTTACTTTTTATGATATCGAAGACATTCATTGTCTCATCGTGTCATAATCAAACTGAATCGGAAATGCCTTGTTTGTTTTTTAATTCCAAAAATGACGATCGAAAATTGATCTTACCGCAAAAAGTGTCAGTTTGTTGACCAAAGCTTTTCATTTTTTCAAAAATTGACTGCGTGATAAGATGAAAAAAAAAAAAAAAAAAAAAATTGCAAACACTCAAGATCACTAAATGGTAAAATAGAGGATGTTCAAATTCAACACGGTTCTCATTTTTTTGTCGATGCTTACCCTTTTTTGCAAATTAGTAGATTGGAAAAAATTTGTCTTACCCCGGACCATAACGTCCGTCCTTGCGGCAAGCCCGAAATAATATTTTATTTAGATAAATATACTGAAGATGAAAAGAGTTGAAAGCTACAAAGTTGGTCAGCGATAGCATAAAAAGTGTACACTTATAGATCTTACTAATTGGACTTGCCCGTTTTTTTTTTCTTTTTTTTAAGTGGGAAAAACATAATGAAAACACAAAATTGAAAGAGGCCATCATCGTCTGCCGCCTCTTTGTTGTCAAATCGTCATTAGTACACTGAAATATTGTCACCTGCGTGAAAGCAGCATGTAAAGAATGAAGCGCGAAAGACTTTGCCCGAAGTGTAATACACGAAAGTGAAAAACCATAAGCTTTAGGTGTGATATACGCGTATGAAGAGTTAAACGCAATTTTGAAGTGTAATAAGCTATCTTGAAGTGTGAAACACAAACTTTTAGTATAAACTGTACGGTTTTAAAGTGCGGGTGTGAAGTGTGAAGTGTGAAGATCGTGCACGATGTGTGAAACACGAGCGTAAATTTTGAGGCGCAAGTTTATGTGACGCGTGAGTGTAAAGTGTTTCAAAATGAGAGTGATATGTGAAGCACCACTCAACTGTCGTGTATGAAACACAAACATTTTGGGACTGGGTTTTTAAATTTCATATTTGGTTTTTTTTTCTTGATCTTTGTTCTCTTTAACTATTTTGTTTAAACCACTGTTCACCTCCACTCTCATTTGAGAATTGCCTACGACAACGACTGCCTTTAAAAAAAAAGATTTTAGTGCAAAAACAACCTTCCTATGACGTCGTTGTTCAAACGTCACTTCTTCCTGATTGACGCAGTTGATTCGTCCCTCAAATATTTGCATTAAAGAAAAGTTGAGTGATCACACACAGTTTTTTTGCCATATTCTAGATTTTCATCTCGCAATTACCATAAAAAACATTAAGAAATTTCATCCACTGAGACTTTACTTTCTCAAAATGGAAAAAATACATCATTCTAGAAACACAGACAAAAGTTCATGATTAATAACCGTATTGGAAAGATAAAACTACATGTTAGCAACAATTTCAAATGGCTAACAACTGTAGAAGTCTAGAAATTTCATAAAATCAAGACTGGTATTTAAGAATAATTTTCAAAGTTATTTCTATAACTGATGTTGATGTAACATTAGCTTTTAAGAGCCTCTTAAAATTCTTAAGCTACATCACAAGTTAACTTGGCTTAACATGCATTTCTTTCAAACTATGTACAAGTAATCGTAAAAAGATTCTATTTTGAGCTAAAAATTGCTGTCTACTAACAGTAACTTTTGTTAAAAAAACCCTACATTATTTAAACATCAACTTTTTTTAAAAATGAAATTTTTTTTCATTTCTATCAAAAGTTGGAAATTTATACAGTTCTTAAAATACGGCAATCGAAAGGCCTAGTAAAAAAGAGTACATTTCGCAAAATATTATTAAAATTAAGCAGCTGGTTATGTCAGAAAAATACATATTTACTGATAAATTTCTCACTATTTGATTTATATAAACAAATTTTCTGAGTAGGAACAAATGATAGAAAAGTTAACATTTCTGGGCAATTGCTCATAAAACCGCGGTAAAAATAGAGGTATCTTGTTACCATGGTTGCTGAATAAAATTTTTTAAGATAGTTACTCCTAACATGTCGTAAATTTCTAAATATGATGAAGGATCTGAACGTTCCTATTAAAACATTGCAAAGGCGGCAAATATAAAACTAATTTAGGAAATATTCACTTCTGTTTTTAAACTATTGGTTTTAATTGGTAAAATCAAGGATGGCAAAAGTATTTGGGAAGTTCTGTATTTCACAGGAAATACCTCACCTAATCCATGGCAGTCTATTGTACTTAAATATCTTTGAATAGGTCTAAATATTTAAGCCATGTTTAAAAGATATCTGGGAAATACTCTGTTTGGCTGTGAAAATATTCATTTAGGAGAAAAAACCTAACCGACTTTGGCTAAATACATTTGTATTGTAACCAGACAAGCCTAAATGAATTTTACGTTCACGAGAATATCTATCATATAATTTGTTGGAAGAATGCACTTTCATGAGCAAATACGATGATAATCCAAAATGCTATGTGTTCTGGTGAATTATAAAACCTCGTGACTTTTCGTCAGTGTCACGCTAGATCAAAAATTTAAGAGTGTTGTGTGAGAGCCACCTGACGTGACTTACGTCACGCTAAGGAACAGACGATCTAATGGCTGTAAATGGGTTCATTCGGGAAGGACGCGAACAAAGCTGACTGGAAAGACCCCACAAGTTCCTGGATGTCCTTCTATTTCACCCAACTACAGACAAAGGAAAAAGAACAGTAAAGTGTTAAAAGGAACAGACATTTTCACTTTTACTGTTTTTATTCCAATCTAGGAAAAAACAACAACAGCAACAAAAACGCCACCAATTCGCCACTTCCACCACTCCCATACTATGTTTGCAACCCTTCCTTCCATTGGACAGAAGTCCCGGGAAATTCGGAGCAATTTTAGGGGCAAACAAATAAGAAACGAGGAGGTGAGGAAAATTAAAACATTTTCTTTTATCTAATATTCTCCGTGAGGGAGAATAAAATTCTCTCGTTCATTGTGATATTTTTCTTGCCTGATAATTGTTTGCCATTCATCTTCGGCCATCAAATCCGAGGCTTCCTGTAGGTGACACTCAAACAACCCCCCACACCCCCACAGATACAGCCTTTTCTAGCCCTTTTTTCATGGAGTCTCCTCGTTTCCTCCTCCTCTGATGAATAATCTTTCGCTCGGGTCCACCGTCTAGCTTTCCTCCTCCCCTCCCCCCTCAGTCAAATTACTAAACTGACTCAATACCCACTCGGCTCTTTCCCCCCTCCCCCCCCATTACAATCCTCCCAATACTCACCCACCATTCGGCGTCCTCCCCCTCCCCCTTGACCAAGATAATGTCGCCTTCTTTGAAAGTCAGCTCGTCCTCATTATCCGCCTCACAGTCGTAGAGAGCTTCTACCCGCTGGGGTAGGGTCAGGGCATTCTGGACAAAAGAGATCACGAATATTAGTTGGCTAAAGTAGGTCTCCTTTGATTACGTTTCTTGGCTTGATTGTAAGACGTAAGATGTAGGAAAAGCGGAAAACAAAAACATTTTTTACACCAACAAGGTGACAATCCAAACTGTCTCCTGTTGCGCGACAACTAGAAGATTACGCTACCTTTTTGGAAAAGCGTGATAACCCTGCTGTAACGCTGATTTCCGAGACGCACAGCATTAGAATATTAACTAACACGCCTTGAAGAAAGGTAACAATAGCGACTAACACAAGGTAAAACTACTACGACTTACTGAAACGGTGTTTGCTCTTGGTGGAATATCCGGAATAGGACTTTCTGGTACAGAATCGACAGATTCTTTTCTATTAACGTCGCTTTTCTTGTCGACGTTCACTGAAAGAGCAAATTGAGCCACGTGATCAGAGAGAAGCAAAGTAAAGAAGACCGTCTTAAATCTTCAATTGAAACAATTTGAGATCCCAAAGAAAATGCTTTATTGTTTGCATTTCTTAAAATCAAAGAAAGAAATGAATCTTTCTTCAAGTACAAATTTTTGTAAAAGTATCAGGTCGCGATTGAATACCAACCTTTGACAGAGCTCAATTCTGAGCTTCCTCGGGGAGGAGGTCGAGGAAAAGTAGCGGCTCTACAAGAAAAATGTCCAATCAGAAAAAAGTACAACGAGCGGGAGCAATAATAACCATGGTGGTTACCACGATGGAGTCCGAAACGAGAGGTCTGGGTATGAGCGGTGGCCGGTGGTCGTGTTCTTATGCAACACACTTCACTCTCACATTGTGTCTGTTAGAGAGACATAATGAAACGTTGGGAAGGGGAGGGCGGGGCATGCAACCCACGATGGACTACCCTTCCTTTTACGGAGAGTAGCGATACTTCTAGTCGTTTCTTACTAAAAAGAAAGAAGGAAAAACTCAGGGCCTGTGGAAACCATTTACGCCCGCCGCGGAAACAATACGAAAATAAAGCTACCATTCGTTAGGAAAAATAAAACCGTGTAAACAAATGAAAGAAGGTGGTAATATTTTCGCAGGTTAATGACAACTTGCTCCTTCAAAATAAATATTGAGGAAATCGCCCTAACAATGATACAAAAGGTACAGATAACGGTAAATATCGCGTGACAAATCGTGACATGGGTGGTTACGTAACACGGCGTGACAAGAAGAGCAAAGTATCACCACTCCAAACGCACTTATTATTTTACTTACTTGGAAGACTTAACTTCCCCATTAGCTAGCATTGGAGTACTAGAAGCGACCCGCATGGACCCTGGCTTCAGGGGCCGGGGCGGAGGGATTGGTTTCTCTTCTTCTTTGACGTCCTCTTTACCAAGAGGTGACGAAAGCTTTTTCTGAAAAGGTGGCTTCGAGTCTGCTGCCCGAAGGATTTCCTCGCCGAAAGGCGTCTTCCCTTCGGATTTAGACCTCCGGTGTGTGGGGAGGGGAGGTGCTACAGGTTTCCCCTCCCCACCAGCTCGTTTAGGAGTGGGCGGAACAGGTGGAGCTCGTCGATTTATCGTTTCCGCCGGACGAATTTTTGGATCCGTAGGTAACTGTTTGGTTGCTGCTGCCCCAGGATCGTCAAACTTTGGTTTAGCAGGTAACGGAGGCAGCGGAACGTCAACAGCAAAGCGCTTCTCTCGACTGACGGAGCTGCAGCGTACAGGAGGGACAGGTGGGGGAGACTCAGCCTGGTCAGCGGCTGTACCGTCAGCCCTGAGAAGAAGTTAAGGAATCTTCCTGAGATGGGTGTCGTTTATCGAATAACAAATCAGGAAAAACAAGTACATGACTTAGCTCGCCAGCGAGATCTCTATGGCTGAGGCAAACAACGGAAGGTCAAAGTAGGACATATTATCAGTATTACGGGTCAGTGGTAGATTTTCCTTCACGCAGGCGCCCAGCTCGTTTTTCCAAACTATGCCAACATTATGCCAAAAAACTATGCTTGCACAATCTATAAGGGCCCATCATCGCGGACGAACAATCAAAACCGACGAAGACAAAAGAAAAAAATTTACACTTACGGTTTAGCCTTAGGTCCGTGACCAAAGGTGCTTGTCATAGAACTGAACATGCTCTCAGAAAATGACGACGGAGCATACATGCTCGCTCGCACATTCACAGCCACTGTCTCCACATTAGTGCCTGAAGGGCGGACAGCTGCTCTGCGCCTTATTACAGGGGAGCCCGTGGAACCTTTGTCCAGCGCCGGTGAATCACTTCCCAAGAGCGTCAGTCCAGATACTAGCGAACTTATCCCGGGCACTCCCTTGGCGTATCCCCCTCCGGGAGGAAACATTTGACTGACGGGTCGTGTGGGTAAATGGCGGCGGTGACGAGGAGGGGTAGGAGGACTGGACCGACCCTGATAAAAAAAAAGCTGTGTTCCTCAAGGGGAATCAAACCCAGACCTTCGGATTTGCACTCGGCTGCCTTATCAGTGAGCTATACAGAACTCGAAGTTGACCATCACTACGTTCACATGCGCAAAGCGTTTGTCAACTGCTAGGATCTGCAGCGACGTTTAAAGCGTCAAATGCTATTACGGAGATTTTCTCCAGGGCACAAACGATGCAGTCGATTGTTCTTTGAGTTGTTTCAGTCAAAGTCTTGGTTTGGTGACGAACATGAGAAGGAATTGTACAAGTTACATTAAACTACGCCATACTTGGTTCAAATAGTTCCTTGCGACTTTCCAACGCTAAAGTTGCACATTTAATTCGATCTTTACTCACGCAATGTAGGGAGATTTCAAAAAGTTACCTTTCCCTCATTTTTCGAATTATTCAGCCCTTCATCGTCGCTGAATTCTAGTTTAACGTCCAACAGTTCTGCAGGGTTATCGTAAATTCCATCAGCCTGGGAAATAAAAGGGGTTATCATTTAAATGTAAACGTCAGTAAGCTTACTTTCTCCTGGGAATATTATCTTGGGACTTCCACGGGTGAAGGAAACGTCAAAAATAAAGACAACGACGATTACCTCATTGAGTCCCCAGTCAATTTTGACATTTTCACAGTGGGCCATCTTACCAGAAGCAGTCACCTTCAACTGAAAAAAGAAAAGCCTTTGCTGTGTTTCATTCGGGACATAAGAAAAAACGTGATTAACCGAAGAAACTTCGTAAACTAAAGAAATCCGAAGAAACTTCTGCCCTAAACTCAAGGACCTGAAGAACTAAAAAAACTTACCAATTCAATAGATTCTGCGTGATTTAATCCTTTCGAAATGTCCATCGGCGTTTTACCCTCCAGATTTTCTGCAGGAGAAAGAGCATAACTTTTTATTCCTGATCCAAATAAATCTTCCAATCTTCTGACAGCTTCAGAGCTGGGGGGAACTGCATTTACCGTGGAAAAGCTTTTGGTAATTCACCGTGGTGAATATACGAGAAATGAAATGTTATTTGTTTCACGATGTAGTCCTTTCCGATGTAGATTTAGATTTCTCAATTGCATACTGCGAGTCTTCATCTGGCGATGAGGGCGACTGGGCACGCGAAAAGTTTAGGAGTAAAACCAAAGCTTCGGAAAATCTTCGATGAAAACACGAAAATCTGCTGACTTTTATCCTCTAATCTAAATATCACTAGTTGGGCCAAAACCGTGACGTCAACTCGTCGCCATCATGCTGACGTCAACGTTACCAGGCCACGGTGATCCCTGATGAAAACCGCTGACTCATTTGAGTGCAGAAATGCAACAGGATATTTGTTTTATAGGCCAAAAGTCAGTGTTCAGATGATTCCCAGTGGATACATACCTAAGCTAAGACTATCCGTAGCGCCAGCTCTCAACAGAACTCGCATACATTCTGTTTTACTGGAAATTGCCGCCAAATGGAGCGCTGTGTTTCCATCTTTATCTGTCACGTTCACATCATTGCTTGAAAAAGGAAAAAAATTAGCAAAAAAAAAAAAAAAATATAATTACGAACATGCAATAGGACAAATTAATAAATTAATCAAAAATAATTATTAAATAAAACACAAAGAAAAGAACATAAAAATTTACCAATGACTGACAGACTGACTGACCAAATGAAGAACCGAGCAGACGACCGAGCGATAGGGCGACCGATCAAGCAAACGAGCGAACGAACGAAGGAGCGATCGACCGATCGACCGATCGACCGATCATGAACGAAGGACGGACGACCGAACGAAGAAACAAACAAGTAAACTAATAATTAAGCGTGAAGAATGGAGCGACCAAACAAAACACCTAAGGCGAGGTTTCCGAGAAACTCGAGGTAATCTCGGCAAGAATAATTCAATCACTGATATCGATCTAGAATGGCATCATTTGATTTGTTCCACTTTCTCTAGCCCTCAGTCACTATTCGATCTTCCTCCTTGGGTTTTCAATTTAACCCTCAACTCACCAGTTCTGCGCTAAAAAGTCGACAATGTGCAAAGAGGTCAAGTCTTCTTGTTCCACGGCAACATGAAGGGCTGTAGAATTGTTTGACTGGAAGAAAATTTAAAACAAAACCACCGGGTTTTGGTCATGGATTTCTTGAGCGAAAACCGCTTAGATGGCCGTACTGTAGTAAACGTCAAAGGTAATAATTGTCTGAGCATCAAGTTGTCCAAAAAGAATCATTTTAAAAGTACAGTGTCTCAAGGTGCCATTTATTGTACAAATAACAACTAATTTTGTTTACTCTAAAAAGTCGTAAGTATCTACTAACTATTTAATACTCACATGTCCAGGAAGTGGTGTGGAAAGCTCTACACCTTCAGCAAACGCTTGTAAAACAGCTAAAATGTCCTTTGACTTGACCGCTTGATGAAGTTCCTGTTAAGAACAGAGAGGATTAGTTTAGCTGGAGTTTATCAGAAGTTGGTAAAAAAGGCGCAAATGCCATGTTTGACCTTCAGCAAAAGCCGTATAATAAAAGTTACAGCGGGCTTACCTGCAGTATTTTCTCAGTATTATCGCCAGATTTGATCGCATACTTATGTTGAATATACTTCGCTCTTATGAACTCCTTTCTTTCATCCCTGGAGGAAAAAAAATAATTCAAACAAAGTTGAGCAGCACGGCCCCTAAACCATTCGACCTCAACCAAAATTAGCTTAATAACAACAACGCCGAAAACAACCTCGGCACTGAACTCACATTTTACTGGAAGCCGTGGGCTTCTCGTTGTAGTCTAAAGTTGCTTCCATAATCTCATTAAATCCACCATTACCAACAGCTTTCGCTTGCTGAAAAAGAAAGAACAAACAATAAATTCCATCAATGAACTGTTTGTTATAGATACGAAACCAACGCACATGGCAGTTTCCGAAACATGTAGTGACTAGGAACACTGCTCCTATTCTGGAAGGGATTCGGTTACCACTTCCCTCCCCACCTCTCTCCCTCTGAATTTCGTCAGGAGTCCAATGATTCCTTAGTAGCCATCTATACTCTGGATGGAGAGAAAATACCCTGAGAGGGGAAAGCGTATTGTTTTAATGGCTACCAAACTGGCCTAAGCCAAGGCTCGAACCAGGTCTTTCAATCTGAAGTCCATCGCGGTAAAACAGTAAATTTCCGCGTCTACCGCAGTAAACTTATTTATCAGTGCATTAAACCAATTAAAATGTGTCAGGTGCTAACATCCTACCAGTAATTCTACAGTGCCTAGTTTGTCGAGTTCAATGGATCGTATTCTAGAGATATGAACACCCATGTCTCGATGGATTCCTGAACACTCAATGCACAGTAAAACGCCAAGATTTGTGGCCAGCCATGTTGGATCTGCAAGGGAAATATAACTAAAGTTAAAAATTACATTTTCTCTAAGGTCGATACCTCTTTGAATCTAAATTAAATTTTCTCCGCTGTGACCATAATTGAACTGTATCAATGAAACATGATAAGGGACGCGCTATAGTGTTAGGGGGAGGGGTGGGTGGGGTTGAATCTTGAGACATAAAAGAATCTTTTATTATCCGCCTAAAGAGGCATTATTTTTCACTCCACGGTCGGAATTTTGGTTTCAATAGTTTACTTGTTCTTTACGTACCTGTATGTTGCATTATTCCGTGGGTTTGTGTCTATATTTATTTCTTAAAATTTACAAGAAAAAAATCATTTTGCCTTTGCCCCACCTCACGCCCATCCGTAAATTTCCAATGAGACGCATTTTTCAATATTGGTTTATGAAAAGTTTTTTTATTCACCTTTTCCAGAACAATCAGCGCAAGTGTCATTTCCTGGCAATCTTCGAACCTGGGAGACAATTCTCTGTCTCAGCTGAGGAACAAAAACAATGAAAAATTAAAAACTGATTCTGTCACAATGTCACGCTACTTCCAAGGACGCTGTCACGCTGCTGTTAGTGATTCTGTAATGCTAAGTTTCAAATTTACCTCTTTAAGATTGCAAACCAATGAACCATTTTCCTCGGACTGAAAAAAAATTAAACAAAACATTTTAGTCATATCGCAAAACTTTAACACGTTCGAGGGGAGTTTTTAAAAGATATCAGGACGCATCGGTGAGAAATGTCAATTATATGATTTGCACGCGTGAAAAGCACTATTCACCTGTGTGGTATATAGCTAGGACGCACAGCTTTCGTGGTGCTTAAATATTTTTTTTTGATTTAGGATGGATGGATGGATGTGCAATGTGTGAAGGGGAACACAAGAGCTGTAATTTCACTGCGATTAAAATGATTTTAAGAAAACTTTGTTAATTTGACTCCTGTGTTGAATACCTCAGCTTTGTCGCTGTCTCCAAAGGCTTTTTCTAAGGCTTCAGTTCGACTGTTGTTAAGAACAGACACCCACCTGGAAACAGTATTGACAAGTTAAGTTACAGCAGGTCAATTTCCCATCCAAAATTACGCTGGTTTTTCTTAACTACAAAATCTGATTGGTCCAAACATTTCGCGCCAAATTATCAACCAATCAGATGCGAAACTAAAACCAATCTCGTCTCGAAAGTGATCCTCGCTGGAATGTGCACTACTTGAGTAGTAGTGAAAGCCGTACAAGCCTGAATTTTTTTCCAGGCCTTATTTTCACTACTGTTCAAGCAGTGCACATTACTGCGAGGATCACTTTCATTCATGAATTCTTATTGGTTCCTCGCTACATTTCCCTTTGTTCTGATTGGCTAAAGTGATATCTTTAGGTTTGGTTTCACGACACTCAATCTAGACTCCCTCTGATCATTTTAGTTTTAGTTTCCCATCCCTTACTTCGTGATATTACTTCGATTGGAAGGAGTTAAGACAGAAAAAAAATAACCACAACAACGATTTATATAAAGCTTGTTTCAAGTATGTTAAACTGAGGTGAAACAACTCTTTCTCAATAATTAATTCCGTTCAACTCACGCTTCCAAATCAGCTTCGTCATCTGCTTGAAATAAATAAGTTCTGTTATCTGAAAGAAAAAAAAAAGATGCCACTTCATCATTGACAAGAACTTTGTCCTTTTTAAGCAAGAGATCAGACACCAACTTTTAAGTTACAGCTGTTATAGTTCGTAATATCTGCTCTTTACGAGATCGCCAACTTACGTGATACAATATTGAAAGTATGTTTCTTTCCATCATCTTCCTGTAGGGAAAACAATTAAAATCATATTTTATGCTCGCTAATTCTCTGCTTGTGCTGGAACGTTACTCTAAAACACAAGGCCAATAAATGGAGTTTAAAAAATTACAGTTTTCCATGGTTTCAGAGCTATAACAAAAAGTCTTGATAAACGCTATACCTTGTCATGGAAGTGGCCTATGAGGGTTTAAAAATTTAGGGATTCTCTAAAAGCTCTGAAAAAGGGACCAATGTAAAAGAGAGCCAAATTGTAAGTCTAAACACGAGAGAGACCCAAGTGGGTACAGAGGTGAGATGCAAAAGGGGCCAACAAAGGATTGAACAGGAAAATGGTCCCCACGTGTGCTGACATGAGGAGGAGCTACAAAAAGTCCAGAGATGAGAAAGGCCTTGGTAGGTACCAATTTTGGTTCCCTTACCTTGACTTGGCACACAAGAAGATTGAGTGTTTGAGTCGGTATGCTTGTCTAAAATAATAATAGTAACAAAATGTGTCATAGACATATACATGGTAATCGCAGACCTTAAATTTCATTAAGCAAGCAAAAATAAAGCTTTCTATATTGCTGAAACTTTTCAAAAGAAATTCCTCTTACTGGTGAATGAGCCAAAGTGAACTGGCCATCCTTTGCCACACAGTATCTCTTTTGCCACACTTTTCGCAGACTGAAAATGAAATTTCAAATGATAAAATCAAATGGTGACAAAGACATACACATTGAGAGCTATCAAAAGCAATAGTCCATGTAGCTGCCAGCTTTTGTTTATGCTGAGTGACTAGCGTCTAATTTCTCCTTATAATATCATCCCTGAATCACAGATAAACGTCACAAGAATGATAGAAATGATCACCCATAAAAGAAGCTCTTATTTGTTAATCAAATTCTCCTTGTCAGCACCTTAGGAAATGTGTAGAGAACAGTTTGGAGAATATGCACAATGATGTTAGGGTGTAAAGGGTTAAATGATGTTGAATTCAGACCAACTTATTCTCTGATCTTTTGCTCATAACTGTAGTAAGTCCAGCTGATTAAAAATAATTATGTTAAACTTACCCTTCACTCCGTTTCTGTAGAAACCCAGCTCTTTCATTGCCATGTACTTTATCACCTTGTTGACCATGTAAACTGTAACCTCCTTTACTCTGCGAAGACTGTGCGGACTGCAATGTGTGATAAAAAATTAATCAAAGGCTCCCTATGAAAATCTACTCAGATGGTAGAAATTTGAAGCGGCAAATGTACTATGTATTTTAGGAGTCATTTATTCCTAAACTTACAAAAAAAAGGACTTACTTCTTTATCTAGCTGTAGCTGGGATTTAATCTCATTCCTTAATTCAGTCAGTTCCTTTCTTTCCTCATCCTGCTGTGCTCTTAACTAAACAAATACAAAAGAAATGAAAGCAAAAATATAGAGATATGACTAAAACTAAACATTAACTTTAAACAATTGAAACACAACATTCATGTTACCCCCCTTACCACAATGCCTGAACAATATCATATACTAATCTCTTCACTCCAAGGAATGATTCAGATGGATATTTTCAAAATAAACTCAATTCATTACCCAAGTAACAGCTCATGTGAATAGATGAACAGGTGTATTTTTCAGTAAGATGTTCTTATCTTGACATACCACTAATTCTTACAACTAACTTACTTGGAAATATACAGTGGCAGATCTAGGGCCCAGACCCCCCCTTATTTTGGTCAAAAAAAAAATGAAGAATTGCAGAGGAAGAAAAGCCAACAGGGCAAGCAACAAAAAACTGCCCCCCCCCCCCCCCCAGGTCTGGATCTGCCACTGATATATATCAGCTGGAAAGAAGAATGATTTACCAGATCTAGGGGAGACAAACACTTCTAAAATACCAGTCATATTTAAATGTACCTGCTGCAGCTCCACAACAAGTTCTTCAAGATAACCTTTCATACTTTCCAGAACTTGTGATCCCAGCTGAAAATAACTGTAGAGACAAATTACAACCAACAGAAAATTAACTTCCATACAAATCAGTACATTCTTCAGTTGGCAGAAATAGCAGTCATAATAAGGGATGATTTAGTTGCATTTTCAATGGGAAACACTCACTTGACTTGTGCATAATAGAATTCCACCAGATGCTGTGCAAGCTCCACTCCTTTCTTCACTTTTATTTCATTCACCTTAATCAGAAGCTTGACGACAAGAAAAATAACATTAAATCTTAAAAAATAAAAACTGTAAGATTGAGTGTTGTAAAATCAAAGCCAAAGTACCAGTAATCACAACAGCCAATCACAAGAAGGGAAAAAAATCCTTTAACCCTTTAACTCCCAAAAGTGGTTCACATGTATCTTCTCCCTACAATATTCACCCATTATCCAGCAAACAGGTAATGAGAATACTCAAATGTATCAGGTAAACATTGTTATCTTGATCTAACACCAAATCCTTGCAACTAATTTACAAGGAAATGTGTAGCAGCTAGAGAGGAGAATTAGCAATCTGATCCTGGGAGGTAAAGGTTTAGGAGCCAAGGAGAACAAAAAAATACTAGAAAGACTGTTGAAGAGTTTCAAAGTTCAAATTTTTCTAGAGGAGCATGTCCCAGACCCTCCTAGAGGAGCATTTTGCTCCAAGTTAGGCACCTACTTGGGTCAGATCATACATTTATTATATATTCTATTGACAACACTGCTCCTTCCATTTGTAAGTCTCCAATAAAAGCATTATGTATTAAATAACTAAAAATAAAATGTATATTGCTGCACCATGATGATACCTCACACATTTGTAACTGGAAAATCCTCCTCTCTCTTTCTGTTTCTTCTGCCATCTGGTTTTTTAAGAGAAAAAAAAAACATATTTAATCTGCTCCAAAAATAAGATCAGCAAATCTCTAAAAGTCAGAGTAGAAATCTGCCACAATTTACTCCATGAAAATATTTGCCATTTCAGTCACTTACTTCCCCACCAGTAACTTCTGTCCGGAGAAATCCAGCCTCTTGTGCCACTTTCTTTTTCTCTTTCTCAATCTTTCCACTATCAAAATCCACCAAAAAGTTTGGAAACAAATGTCAGTAAAGCCTCATAATTACAATTTTAGCATTTTGCTAAGTAAACAGAATTGATCATCCATGATAACATAGAGTCTATAAGGCCAAGATGGTCATAACCCATAACACCCTAACATCAGTGTGCATATTCTCCATACTGTTCTCCATAAATTTCCTAAGGTGCTTACAAGGAGAATTGTTTAACAATCAAAAGCTTCTTTGGTTGGTGATCATTTCCTTTATTCTTGGGACTTTGATGTGTAATTTAAACATGATGTTGTTACAAAAAAAATTGGATGCTAGTCACTCTTTGGGGTTAGCAATAACTTTTTTTATGATAAAAAATAGTCAAGGTCTTACACTTTGGCCTCATAATCTTTCCATGCTTTATCAAATGGCTTTCTCATATCCTGTGAAATAAACATAGCAAATGCATCAGAGAAATTTATAAAATGACCAAACAAAATCTCAGCTTCTTTTCCTTCCTAAAGCAAAACCAAATTGTAGTCTTTTAAGCCTGGAGGCTCATTTATTATTGTAGCTTGTTCCTGATTAGTTTCTCTTTTCTCATAACTGTTTGTAAGATGATGTATTGAAATGCACAGGAAAGATACACATCCATCACTTCTGTGATCTAAATATCAAATCTCAACACTATCTGCTATATATTTCATATATTTTCAGCTTTAAGAATATGGTAATAAATCAGACATTGTCCTCTAATTGATATGTTTCCATCTTCTCAATACCCGTCTGCTTGAAACTGTATTAGAATTGTGAGGGGAAATTCCACTTTGGTCAATCTAAGAGGGTTAAAGGGTTAACACTTACCCCTTTCACATCTTTCATGTCTCCTTTTAGAAGAGAGTCCAGAGGAAACAAAACCATGTTGTGATAATTGGTGAACTGTTGATGAAAAATAACACTTTTTACTAAAATTAAACATAATTCTAACTTGTTCAACTAAGTCTCATTTCACTGCCTTAAAAACTATAAAATTCAATCAGCTTAAACATTTCATGGTGTTTTTAAAAAAAAGTATTGCTTACCAATGTTTTCATAGCTGAACAAAGTTCCTGCAGAGAGGGAGATGTGAACAAGAGTTTTTACGGATTTCAGTTAAGTACAATTAAACAAAAACACCTGATTGTGTACTCAAAAGCATGCTTAGTGTGTTGATTACAAATAATTTGACAGTGTGATTCAAAGGACTGTTCTCCCTTTGATTCTCATTGAACACAAGATCTTAGCAAACCAGTTGGCATATTTTTGCGGGCGTTACTTCCCCAAAACAAAGAACACACAACATCTGCGCTGTTTTCAGTATGTGCAAATTTCCCTTTGCAAGTTGACTTCCAGTGGTCATACTGCATGTGATTCAACCAAAAGTTTATAATTGATGAATTATAACTTAGCCTGTAAAACTTTTCTCGGGAGATTTTCCAAACCTCTTGGGGGTTCAATTGTTGTTATCCTTGGGGGATGTCATCAGGGATTACGCATAATGTAAAGTTTTAAGAAGGTTTTCTGTTATGATTTGTGCCTAAACTCAAGTTGCACAGGTTACCCTATGAACTTTGTGTCACAAAAGGGAGTTGGCAGCTCTATCACTAACCTTAAATGTGACTGAAAACTTTAAGAATGCAGTACCTGGAAGAGAGCATGAAACACATTTATTGAAATTAGAGAAAATTTTTTCATGTTTCTTGGACAGTACATATACTTCCATAAATGACAACATCATTAGGAATACTGTAAATCCAGCGAGTGGCACCCCAGAGCACTCATCCAAGCAAAGGTACCCATCACACTTATCTATGGTGTGGCTAAATATTTTTTTTTCATAATGCCGCGTACGCACTTAAACAACACCAACTGAGTAGTGCCCCGAAGCACTCATCCAAGCAAGATACCCATCAAATTTACCAATATTGTGGCCCAATATCTTTTTTTATAAGGCTGCATTAGCACTTAAACAACAACAACACAGTAATTAGCAATGGATGGTACTCCTACTCAACATACTAACAAACTCCAACAAGTATGGTGTAAATATTAAAGGTTTTATGAGAGAATAAATAAAACTGCAAGAGCTATGTATCCCTAAATTTGTTTAGTTACACTTCCATGAAAATGATATGAAGGGAGAGGCACTTATCAGAAAAGGACACTAACTCTAAATTTTGGCCAAAGGGTGGTGTACATTTTTAAGGCAAGGAGTTGCTATAATTTCAAATTTTGACCAAAATTTAGGAGCATAATTGAAAGGCAGAGAATCTTATAAAAAAGACACACTTTGTTTAAATTTGGCAAACAGCTGAGGTGCTTTTTTCAGGGAAAAATATCAATCCCAGTATTAACAATTATAACTCTGTGTACATACCCAAAGCTAGAACTTACCAATGCCTGTATCTGCCTCCTTTGAAAGAGATGATGAACCCAACTTTTCAAGACTCTCAACTAATGACAGCTGATTTGTAGAATAGTCTGGGATCAAAAATCAACATATTTATAAGGAGAAACTGGAAGCATAGACTAACAAACACACTGCCACTCTGTGCTAAAAAAGAGTTTTGGTGGTAAGTTTGTATAGGAAAATTTGGAGCAAGCATGCAAGATTTGAAGTTAAGGGCTATACTTACTTAAACCTGCAGTGTGGACAGCTTTGCTTGATTTCTTCAGTTTATTAAGTATGTTGTAATCTTCATCAAGACTCTGAAATAAAATTTAAAAGAAAGATGAAAAGTGTGAGAAGAGACAGAGAAAAAGATTCACCTGTTAAATTTTAAATAATGTCATTTAATGACCACCTTCCATTTGATTTGACTGTTCAGTTGTTCAAACCTAACAAAGATTTGCGCTTGGATGGGATTTGAACCAATGATCTTCATATGACAGTGGCACAGTGCCTTAATCAACAATGTAAAATATTTAAATGTGTATATACTGTAAGCATAACGATCTTGATTCTGTCAAAAGCTATAGACTAAAATTCCAGAATTATAACACGTGCAAAGAAATGACCCATCACTGCTGAAACATCAGCGCCGAAGATTTATTGTTTCACGTGAATTCAGCATCTTTTAACCCTTTCAACTCTAAGAGTAACAAGCATCTAATTTCTCCTTACAGAAATACTGCTGAATCATTCATCAAGGTCATGAGAATAAAGGAAATGATCACTAACCTAAGGAGCTTTTATTTTTTAACAAATTCTCCTTTTCAGTACCAAAAGAAATGTATAGAAAAGAGTAAAGAGAATGTGCATAATGGTGTTAATTAACCCTTTAACTCCCATGAGTGACCAAGAGAGAATTTCTCCTTACAATATCAACACAATATCAACTAGATTAGTGACGAGAATAAAGAAAAATATCAATTGGGGGATAATTAGTTGATCCCATACTAAATTCTCTGAACTAACATTGAAAGAACTGTGTGGTTGACAGTAAGGAGAATTACAAAATTTTATCTAGGAGTTAAAGGGTTAGGGAAGTAAAGGGCTGAGACTGAAAAAGCCCAGTTTTGAAGAATATGTTGTCCAGCGCAAAGTCAAGGCCACATATACAGTGTATACCGTGTGCCACTCTGTTTTGGTTATACTCTTTTTGTCAAGCCTTTAAGTAGTTGCATATTACTTAAAAGAGCTTAGTATTACAGCTGTATGTGTCATTTATTTGCATCACATTGGCAAAATCCTGCAGGAACCAGTTACATGAGTATCCTTTATTCTGTATGTGTAAACAGAATTTAAAAAATGACATCTGGGGCTCGTACCCCTTCACATGGATTGGGGGATGAATGACTGTAGTTTTCCCTTTAGCTAAATTTAGAAAGAATATAAGGGACTAGACCTACCTAAACTTAATCTTGGCAATCATTAAAATTATAACTAGCAGATCGTTCAAAATTTTAATCTTATTTCTTTGATTACGACGCTAAAATGTAACTAGAGCAGGCAAACACTTTCATTTTTTTTAAAACAGAAAATCCTTTGTTGACACAAGACATCAATGGAAACAAAAACCACATACTATTTAATTGTGAAATAAAAAGTAAACCACAAGATAAGCTTGTTTTCATGAAAATGAGATTCCGTCACTCACTCAAATATAAGTTTACGGATAAAATTTTGGTAAACATATTTGACAGAGCTCAAACTGACAATATTATGTGAGGTGAAACCGTTTGGTATCGGCGTTATATAAGCTCTGTGGGTTTCCACACACGCACTATTTAATTCACAGAGTGACGATCGAATTTAAATTAAACAAGACATGGATTGGTATGCTTTCGTTATTATGAAGAACACCATTCAGGAAAATATTTATACATTCAACTACCGATCATGAAATATGGATGCATTACATGCAATTAGACCAAAAGCTATTAGACACGTTAATTTTCATTATCAGTCCAAACTAAAACCGCTGCAGATGTCCTTCACTGACATGAAAGATTTATTGCACGTACGACACAAAAACGAAGTTTCGTGAAAATTTACCTCCTCGAGAGCTCCAACGGTGTTTCGACAAGCATTCATTGTCGACATGAAATTCGAGGTTGTAGGCGATGAGACATCGTCCCTAGCTTCATTCAGGAAGCTCCTGACAGTTATTCTGTCAGGCATAACGGCTAGTTTTGGTAGGATTTCACTTCAGAGGTCTCATTTAGCGGACATTTGTGAAATGTTCATGTCGACGAGACGTAATGGGTCGAAAGTTTCCGGCGAATTACCTAGTGCCCAGGTCCTCGCAGAGTGACACACCTACACTTCACAGCCCAAACCGGAAACCAAACTTTTCCGAGGCACAATACGATAGTTTCTTTCAGAAAGTTTAACCTAACCACAAAATAACTTTAAAGACCCGTTTTTTTCCGGTGAATTTTTTGTTTTTTTCCTTTTGAAATTGTTTCACCGCTGGTGAAAAATAAATAAAAAAAACATTGGAATTTTTGCCAGAGAATAAACAGTTGGATTAAAACCGTACAACAATCTACTTATCTTCGATCGTCAAATCAACAAAATAAGTAAACAAACAAATAAATCCGTTAATGAAACATTCATATGAGAAAGCTCTTACTCAATCTTAGGACAAAGGTCCAAAAAAATCTAAAAAAATCCTGGAAATTTCTCTCAAAACATATTCTCCGTAATCAGCATTTATTAATTATTGCTATAGAAAAATGAAAGACAAAACTGTCAAGTTTTCCAAAGAAACTAAAATGGTGTAAATAATTATAAATTAAAAAATAATTTGTTCCGAAGACTTCTTAACCCTTTATTTGTGATTTTCCAGTATTCAATGTTCAGATAATAAATTAAATATTTTCAAGATTATCAGGAGTTCTTAACTGTTACTAAACCTTATTTAAATCGAGGAGCAAGAACACGAAAATACTTCATTCATATCCAGGAGTTTTTGCCCTTAGATAATTAAGTTTGCAGTCTTGCATAATATACATGCTGGAAGCCGGTAAAAATCAGGTTAAAAATGTGAGAACTCGAGGTTTCCTAAATCATGTATAAAATGGGAGTTCATCGTCCTTCTAACTCAAAGTTTGCCAGGCCAAGTGACATAAATCCAATTCCATATTTACAAGTTTTTTAATCAGTTCCATACATCTGTAGGAAACCTAGCCGCCAGAACGTTTAAAACTTTCAAGATCCTAAGCCAGTTAAGTGATATTTTTCAAATACTTTTGCAATCGGATTAAGCTCTGTAAATTCGATAGTGACGTCATGTAATCCACTCCTCTCATCGGGGGAAATTGGCTTTACAGATGGACGCAATAATCTCTCAGACGCCGAAACTCAAAAGCTTCTTTAAAGAAGTGGGACAATTCCTATACGATATTCTATTTTCTATCGCCCTGACGACCCACTTCTTGAAAAAAAAATTCAGATGCACTGCATGACAACTTATGTTTATTCTTGATGAAAAAAAGCGATATATATATATATATATATATATATATATGTGAAAGAATCAAAGAGGACGCATCGATTCTCTGTTACTCTGAGTTTCGCGCCTAAGCACTCGTCAAATATATATATATATATATATATATATATATATATATATATATATTTATTTATATTTATTCTGCTCTGCTTCAACGTATTGAGCACTGTTCCACGCGAAAATCGACTTGCAGACTTCCTTGCAAATTGTATCATTTCTACCTATCGGTCAATTCCTTAAATTTTCTGAGATCTTTCGCCATTTGTTGTTTTTTATCTGATTTATTTATTTATATTTTTGAGTTTGTCATTTCGATCGGGCTACTTTCACGAGAGAGAAGTTTTTGGGAAACAGAATAGTTTACAGGAAAGATGTGACTTGTGTTATCATGTTGGCAGTTTAGAACCACAAGGATACCACTGTACTGCAGCTTCTACTCTCGACTTCGTGCCTAACACAGTCGATTTACCGATTCCAAAGAACTTGATTCAACACGTTTATGTATCGAATACCTTCTCTGAACAATTTGGGGGTTCTGACTATCTTAGTATTGTTGTTGTTTTTTTTCCCTCTTCGAGTCCACGCCCTGTTAGGGCTGCGTAATGGTTGCAGAGTTGCCAACTCATTTCAAGGCTGGAGGTTGGATTGTAACTTTTTTACTGTGATGGCGAGAATGAAATCGAGACGTTCTGGTTGATATGGATTAAGCACGCTCTACTCGCCATGGCGTGCGTAGTCAAACAATACATTTCTCCCCTATCCATACCAAAAATAGGACACTTAATGCTAATTATATTACTGGAGATGATCGAGTAATTTTATTTTCAGGCATTAGCAAACCAAACGATACAATTTTGAGGTTTCCGGCATTTCCGACTTTGACAGCTGTATTGAATTACGCGAGAAGTGAAGTCTGCCTTCAAAATTCCATTCTAATCACACTGCCCTTTTTTCAAATTTCAGGATCGTACACAACAAATTGGAAGAACAACTCGTTTCAAGCAAAACAACTTGTCGTTGAATTCATCTAAAATCCCCCTGATACCCGATTTTGTTTGGCTGGGTGTGGCAATCTTTACCATATTTTCAAGACACAATCTATCTATACTTTTAAATATCTACTATTAAAGAGCCATCTAAAAGATGAAACTTGATATGCTTATGGTTGAAATGGGGGCCATGGAATTGATCAGTGGAGTTATAAATACATAAGGCTAAAACTAGGGGCGATTTCACCCATAAAATCAGAAGATCTGATTGTTAATTCTCCCCCCTAGCTGTCACACATGGTATCACAATTTGATGTACATCAGGATTACAACTTCCACCCGATAAGTTTGAGTATTCACATTACCTGTTTGCTGGATAATGTACGGATATTATAAGGAAAAGTCACGTGTTAATCACTTCTGGGAGTTTTAATAGGATATGGCGCTGCTATGAAAACGTCGTCTCAGGGCACTTGACAAGTGCTGATCAGGAATTTTACCATGATAACAGCATCGAAGCAATGAAAAAAAAAATGCAGTTTTATTGATCCATCAGCGGAAATACAACCGTATTGCGCCATCTTAGAGTTTTTCCTGTTGTATGTGGGCGATGTGATTTCTTCAGACCTATCTACAACTTTCGATGTAATTGTTCAGTTTTAGGCGTGTTCATTATTAAATTATTGCAACTACTTCTGTTTCTGCGGTGACAATTGAACAACAGGAAATTAACGGGAAACAGGTAATTGCATTCTTTGCCAGTCCCACTTTTCCTTTTGCAGCGACAAGCAACACACACCCACTGATTGTAATATCACTTCCTTGTCACATGTACTGACCCCTTCGATTTACCACAAGAGCCATACGATAACAGAACACATCTCAGTCTCCCGTACAACACGCTCGAGCCTAAATATCCCTAATAAAATAAAAAATTCTCTCTCTATAACAGGGTAAATCAAGTATATTTTGCCTCATCAAAAAATACTTGAAACGTTGCACTCGAAGATGTCTGTAATTATGTGACGTTTCAGTGATATTAATTTGAGCGGCCGCTTGTTCGTTAGGGGAGACTGGTAAACAAATTCTCGCTTGGGGTGAGGCTCTCCTCTTCTCGCATCGATAGCTTTAGTAACCTCATGTGAAGATCTAAAAGCAGACGATCCTTCGAGGATCCAATCAGATAGTGCATGAAATAGCTTTCAAATAGGAAATAACATTACAATGGTCGTTTCCCGAGGCTAGACGAGTTGCACGAGAATGGTTGCTCAGTGGAGTCTGACACGAATTGTTAACGAAACTCTGACTAATCAAACAAATACACAATAAGTCGCGGATGACGACATAACGCGGTAAGAAAACAATTGTTGGACACGAGACGCATTTGTAAGACGCAGGGGCGGCCACACCAGAGTGTCCTCCAGTTGATCATTAATAAGAAGGAATTGTAATGGATTCATAATTCATCCCATATACCAAGGATAGACTTCAGAGACGAGAAGTCGCGACAATTCCTTATTTCACAACTAGCCCCACCTTCTTAACAAATCAGATGCAAAATTATTGACACTCGTGGTTGACGCACTTTGCCTGGTTTTGCTTCGATTACTCAATGGCTCATGTGATAATTTATTTTGTTCTGATTAGCCATTGTTTTTTCTTTCCTTTGCGACAGTCAATAGTAATCCACTGTCTGGAGCCGCAAAACAAGAAACAACCACACAATTTCAATAAATTTTCAATCTTTAATCACAACGTTTAAACTGTGACTGCAGCACAGAAAATGTCGAGACGTCCGGATTACCCTTCCAATTTTTCCAACCAATAAACTTCTTGCGCGTTCGCTTTCAAATGGCAGTCAATAATAATTCCCACCTTGCTATCAAAAGCTCAAAAAAGTGAAACTTCCAACATTGCAAAGCTTATATCCTTATGCATAACGCATTTCACGCTAGGAAAAAAAAAGTAAGAAAAACATAATAACATATGAACACTTTCTTAATATTACGAGTGCTCCATAAGATTATAAGAAATACCTGCTTAAGAAAGCTATAACGAGCGATCGGTTTTTAACAGTGAAAAAATCGACCGAATAATTTCTCTTTAAGAAGCACTTTTCCTCCATCTTGTCTTAAGAATGAGATAGTTCTTTCTATTTATGTATATATGTACACAAAAAATTAAATAATCTGCTATAGTAAACAAGGCACTCAAACAAAGAAAGAAGGCGTGTCATCTGAGGCCAAATCTGGCACGGTTTGATCAGCTATTTTCTGGTCTATTTTACAAGGACTAGTGATATGAAAACTTGACGTAAACCAAGGATGTTCAAGGATTTCCCGGGCAGACAGTCTTTCTGTGGGTTCACGGCGCATCATCGAGCGAATCAGACATTTCGCTTTTGATGATATCGTGTCCGGAACTGTGAAATGTCCACGTCGAATTTTCGTGAAAAGCACACTCGGTTCTGTATCGTGGAACGGGTATCGTCCGACTAACATAGTGTACAACATCACTCCCAGACTCCACACATCGGCTGCCTTGCCCGAGTAACCACCGCTTGCTTGTAAAATCTCCGGACTCACATAAGCAGGGCAGCCATGCTTGTCTTCGAGAGTGTCATCTTCGCCGTCAAGAGGATAAGCGTCTTCTAATCCCTCAAGTTTTACATTTGATCTGTAAAATTAATGAAAATAAATAAATAAAACCTCGGCGTTAGCGAAAAAGTAATTGAAAATTAAACTTTTTCAAACAATGGGTACTAGACTACATGAGACGTACATGACACGGAATAAGGCAAACCGAAGGCAGACAAAGAACAAAGGGGTCGTCGGGCCCATGCGCCACGAGGCACGCGAGTAACTAGCACACCTTATTAAACCGAATTCAAAAGGCTTTCTAAGGACTCACATGGTTTTCCAAGGTACGTTTCGAAATTTTGGTCTAATTGTTTTGGTCTAGAAATCTCACCTACAATTGTTAGATGGTGATTTTTAAATTTTTTTTTCTTTATTCTTATGACAAAGGGCGGAAAGAAGAGGGAACGAGAAGGAACAAAAGACAGAAACAAGAACGTCTGTTGGCCATGTTTCATAATCAGACACATGACAGACAGTTGCATGTCAAAAAGAAAACCGAGTGATTCGAGTGCTGACGTTTTCCACGACCGCAGTTTGTAATAAACGACAGTAAGATGGCTGATTAACTCCAAAAGACGTAATCGATTCTTTCGAGGATTTTTCCGCGAAAAAGGTAGAATTGGGCGGAGGCCACATGGCAAAAAGCACGTGTAGTTTTGGTTTTGATTCACATGAATCATTCTTTTTTATGAGTAACTGGTATTTCTTTTGAAATCGAGACCACTTACCGCTTAACATTTTTTAAAGATAACTTAACAAAAGGCCAAAGCATGTTACCCTAGATGCACATTAAAAAGGCTGGATCGAATTTAACTTGAGCTGTCACTGAGAGAAAAAAAGAAATGGGAGGTTGAAAAGGCTGGAATCTCGGACCCTCAAAAAAAACTGCGACTCAGATATCCGAGTATTCCCTAAAGCCAGATTTCGTAACCAAAATCCCACTTATCTTTAATGCAAGGATTTGACTGATAATTCCGATTTAATTTAATCGCTTATTCCACAGTTTTCACTTCGAAACTCGTTGAAAACATCTGCACCGCGTGTAAGCTTTTCTTTCATATATTCCGATCAATATAACTGTCTAGCACAGAAAGTAACAATATATCTTATCAGCATTTGCGTGACCCGTGATGTTCATTTTAATTCTATTTATAGGATTCATTTAGAAATCGTTCGCAATTCGCTAAACGCAGACTCCATTCACTTCTATTTAATACATATCAGGTTGACAAGCAGCTTATGAGAGAACACAACTGGCTTTTTACCGGCTTCACAATGGAAAGCTCGCTGCTAATGACAGTTTTTCAAAAAAACATGGTTCTCTCTTTTTGTTCATTTGCAAGTAATTGAGACGTAAACGCTTTAAGGACAGCTGTATTTAAATTTGTGACCCTTTTTTTTTTCCACTCCGGTAGGACAAAGTTTAATTATTACTATGATCGTTAAAGACAAGAATAGATCAACGGGGAAGTAAGAAACACAAACGGAATTGTAAAAAAATAAAATCCTCACACCCACATACAATATCTTAAACACCCTTTGTCAATTGCACTATAGTAAAATATTAGACCCAAGATACTTCTGAAGTATGCTATCTTTTACCCCTTTGGGTAAACACTCTATAATATTGCCAATTGTGAACATGAGAGCATCGTGAATACTGAACATTTTACTCACAGGAAATCTCGGCAAGATCCAGTCAGAACGAGGAAAAAATCGCTTTTGCACCTGCGGGTTCTCTGTGGTATTTGAAGATTCTCTTTTTATAGCGTACGGTTTCGAATGTTTCCGTTCACAAATCAAAGAAATGTCATCGGGGGCGTTCGTCTTTTGAAAATCGCAGAAGACAATAGACAATCATCGGAACACGCCGTCCGTTTAAGAATAAAAAGCGTGCGATTTAATTGTGTTTCGACAGTCATTGTTTTGTGTCGCAAACCAACGGATAAATTTCGAGAATAAAGCAACAAAGGTGGAAAGATCATAGTTCCACGTGGCTAACTTTCACTTGATCAACTTGCAACGTTTTGAAATTTCCCAATGCCACGTGGAGAATGATTTCATCTGACAACGACTCAAACCTAACCAAATCACCGGCGTGTAGATTCGATCCGACGATTCTAGGGGTTCTATATAAATCCAATTGCAATATTGATTGCATTTCCTTTCGGAGGCTTCGCAATAAGATGTACTTACATTGAATGACAAGTAAGAATCAAAATTTCCCGCCGCTGTGTGCCCGCCATTTCCGGGATCAAAAAAAATAAAATGAAAACGCAAAGGAAAAGGGAAAAGGAACCCATTCTTAAAAAAGGTGTCTAAAGCATGGCCCTCTTTATTGGTTTGATGACTCGCCTTTCATCCCACAAAGACGCGACGCGCGTGGGAATGACGAAAGTGGAATATGAAATTATCAGCCCACACAAATTCGCGACTATTATTTGCCGCATCGAACGATCCCCCTCTACAAACAATACTCTTCAGCTCTACTCTTATTTCAAGTATTTTAACCGACTCTTTTGATTCTTTGTCGCTAAAAACAGCGCCACGAGATGGATTTTATACATTCCTATTGCAGGTGCCTACAGAACGCCACAAACCGGAAATAGAGCGGCAAACACGAACGGCCAATGTTATTGCCATGAAAAAGAGAAATACGGGCCCACTGCTTAAAGTTATGGCCACGGACACGAACAAGCTCGGTTCTTAACTAAATTACATTTAAGTTTGTAAGAAAATAATGAAGAAATGAAAAAAAAACTGCGTCGTAGCTAGGATATGTAGACCCAAAACAAACCAGTACCCGTCCTAACGCCACGCTAACACTGTTCACACAATCTCCACCACGAGGGGTTAACGAACAATACTGAATAGATCTTGTCATAAACCACATGGAAAATCCAAGATTTCTCCAAGCTTATTATTTTTTAAGAGCTAGAAACCCCCCAAACCTTGTAGGACCAAAAAAGGCGCTTACCTTTCGGGATTTTTAAACACAAACTTTCTAAGTTTCAGGTCGCGCAAGACAACACCCGACTCGTGACAATGTGCAACTGAACTGACGATGTGGTGAAATAATTTGCTTGCTTCCTCCTCCTTCAGTCTACGTTTTGTTCTAACGTAAGAATGTAAATCTCCAAACGATCGCTCAAAAAAAACATAAGCGTAGGAGTCACTGACCAAGATTTCTATAATCTTGTTGATGCCATCGTGTGGAGGAAGATGAAACATCGGCGCTAGAGTCTCCCGGAATTTATTGACGTCTATGATTTTGCAAGCAAGTTCTGTTCTCGTTTCGGTGTCCACCGCTTTGTAAAGAGCGCTTCCACCTGGACGTTCCAATAAAAGATATTTCCCAACCTTGCATATTTGTGGTAAATCATTCGTTCGCTTCGCTGCCTGATGAGTTATAGTCAAGTTTGGTAATGGCGTAGATTCAATATTTGTTTTGGATGCATTGCGCTGATAGGGATGGTAACGATTCGTCGTAGAGTTCATTTAAAGCAACGCAGTTTTCTCTTAAAAATGACTCTTCTTCGTGTTACGAATAAAGAGAAAAGCAGGCGACTATAAATCCGTAATTTTGTTCGTAATAGATCTTACGTGTATTCCGATTTTGCCAAGTAAGATGTATGACGTTGCACAAAAGTGGCGATGTGATGTCGTAAGTCAGCAGTAGCGACAAAAAAATTTTGATCGAAATTTTCCGCCGTGAAACGTTTCCCTCCTTACCGTTGGCGATGGCTTGACTTGCTGGGAGGCCTGTTTGGCCTTCCCTTTCAACAATCAGGCTGGAATACAAATGCCATGATGGTGTAATACTCAATTCAATCTCTGGTGGATTCTCACAACGAAATTTGGTTCTTAAGACATCAAATTAACCTGACGCAATAAGGTTTTGTGTTGTGGCCTCTCAAAGCCCACCTCTCCATATTAGGAGTTATTTCGTCATCGTAAGGTCATCTGATGCAATTTACGACATATAATTGGTTAAAAATACAATTGCCTTTGTTAATTTAGAGCAGCTCGCTTTCCGGTCGGTTTCTTTCGTTCTTGAAAATAATTAGCATTTTCGTGCAACAACTCATTGGCAAACACGACATCGCGTTCGAAAATGAGTTGCTTTACGATTGCATCATTTGTTTGAAATTCCCAGAGGACAGAACAACGCATCTCTGTGTAGTTAAAAATCTCATTCAATAACGAGCAAAAATAGCTTTATGGCGAGCGATATTTACGCGTTGGAGTCACACGATCAAAGCGTGAGTCAAGTAACGTTTAAATTTCACATGACGAAACTTTCAAAGCTGACTCACAATTCACCCTTGGTCAGAAGTATGATCACAAGACTTGAAAGATGAATAATATGCCTTAATCCGTCACCAGGATGTGAAGAGACACGTCAAAATATTTTAATAATTATGATAATCTACAGGCGAACATGGTTTTGATACTTTTTCTTTTATTAATAAACTTTGGTTTAGAAACAAAAATGACTAAAAAAAATTGCGAAAGTAATCACTGGATTACTTAATTTTACGCAAAACTGAAATTTCTTAATATCTGGCGTAAAACAAATGGGAGGAAAAAACTTAACAGAGCAAACCTTTGAAATCCTTAAGTTGCAGAGTGAGTTACGTGGCATTTTTATATATATTTTGTATTTCTTGAAGACAAAATTAGATCTAGAAAGTTTTTCCTCGTGACTCAATTGTCATGTTTCCACGACAACCTTCTCCTGTTATAATCATGCGTGACCAGATTACAATTTTAATCGAGTATTGTGCTCTCAATGGAAAATGGCCATCATTGTTGTTATTCAGGATTATGCCAGAATCTTTCATGTTCAGAACAAAACCAAAATAACGAGCAGATCTAGAAGACGAAAAAAGTAATTACGAAAGCGTTCTTTGTCAAAGTTATGATTTTTGGAAAATACCTGCCGATTGTCACGAAATTTCACGTGACTCACAACTTGTTTTCAGCGAAACAGGAAACCGTCTCCATTCCACTTTCATAATCCGTTGAATCCAAATCATGAATTTTATCACAGAAAGTTTGTTAAGGTCAAATATTTATCACGTCTTTCCGCCTCCAGTGTTATTCACAGCATTATGACTGGTAAAGGAAGGAAACAAACCAGAAGAGTGTATACCACAATTTTCAGCTGATAAATTATAGGACCCAATTTTAATCAACGCTTTCCGGTTTTAGCATATGTGGGATAGAGTTAAATAAAGCGCTGTTACTATTATATCTTAGAATGTTCCCAGAATGTTTCATGACATATCTCATGTCAGCTGTTCTGTCCTAACACCATTGGAAAGTTAGATATTTACTGCAGCGGCAGTCACTTAATATGGTTATTTTTTTTAAGTTTAGTCGCTTCCTCGTGTGCAATTGCGCATGTTTGATCGAGGTGTCAGCAAAAGAGGAAATGCCATATGTGCTGAAGGTGGATTTTGTTGACAAATAATTGTAAAGAAAGCAAAAATCAGCCTCCACCGGATCCGGAACAAAAAAAAAACAAAAACAAAAAACAAAAAAAAAAAAGGGAGAGAAGAATAAATTAAAGCCAAGCAGATCATTTGGAAACACCTCAGGCAATCAGGTGTAATGAAGGACAGGAAACTGTTCGATCTTTGTCACCAGAGGAAAACAATGGGTGCTGATTTCACTAGAACACCATTTCCTCGTTAAACAACCCATTCAGAGCGTGTCAACCGCCTATTAAATTACAAATGGTCCTTTCTTTGGTTTTTCCCGAAAATTCTAGGCCGCCCATCCACCGCCGTAGAGAATTTTCCGTACTTCGCCCCTTCTGGTGGTGTTACTCCCATCGTGGGAAATTCTCGTCAACGACCCTCTTTTGAACTCAATCACGCTTAAGATTATCTTAGTGAGACACTGGCACAATATTTTATTTGACCTGTATTGGCCATTCGCGACTCAAACACATTTCGATTTGTTGCGTCTAAGGATGTTTCAATTCAACCCATTTCTCTCCAATAGCGTTTCGACCCCTTCGAGCACCTTTAAGACTTCTAACAGACTCTGGGCCCTTCGAGTCTCACGACGTAAACTTTGAGTCGTTCGGTCGTCCCAGTTTCCCATCGTCCATCATTGCGCAACTGTCAAATGTGCTTACGCCTACATGTGAGTCATACGTACTAAGACTCATCAGTCTTGGGATATGTAAATGTCGAAGGTTTTTTTTTTAGAGCTTTTCTTTTCATTCTCAAATTTTTTTTTCAGTTTCTAACAACTCAAAATCTAGGATCCGTCCTAATAGCCAAAGGTAATGGTCAAACGGGTAGCGACGAAAATTTATGTATCGCCGCTGTCGTTTGAAAATAATGATTGATGAATGAAAACAATGCAGAAGTGAAGTCTTGAGTCTAACGCAGTAGTTGTAACATGCCTTTGCAGAGCAAAGACTTTATAGAAAATTTTTAGAGCTAAAAATGTGTAGGTCTCCGGTTTTCAACAGTGGTTTTGAAGAGTATTGACTTTCACCGTTTGCCTCAACGATACTGCGCCAATATGCGTTAACCTCCCAGATCTGTTAGCCGAAACCACAGACCCTCATCGAACTCTTAGAGGTAAACAAATCAGAGTCATGAATGAGGTTGTCGCTTCTTTGTCCTTTGCCGCCGGAGGCGGATGTGAAAAAATTCAACGTTCAATAAAGCTACAAGAGAAATAAAAGAAAATCTCGGCTGTGTAGTGTCATCGTATTTGCTCCACATTATCTGTACTAAATAATGTGAATCTTTTCCGATGGATAACAACCTTGTTTGACAATTGATGCGTTTATGATCTGTTACATACGCGTATATTGCTTTATGTACTTCAAAGAAAATCTATATGCAACCAGATTATTCAGATTGAGGCCTCAGGACTTAATCTTTAAAAGAAAACCTTTTCACCAATAACGTTTCATTTTTTTAGAAGCTATTGCGATCTTCGAAATACACTTCTTAGCTCGTCCAGAGATTTTGAGTATTTCTTGCTGAATTTATTCTTTGATGGCCTTATTTACTGACTCTAAATTAAGTAAAAGAATGCAGCTCAAGCTTATATCGTTTGTTGTCTATAATACGGGAGGATGGAGTCGAAATTTCCATCGTATCCACTCACCACCGTGGTGGTAGTGTAGTTAGGAAGCCAATCTTAAGTAAACAGGCTATCACAAATAAAGATTTACATTAAAAAATTTATTCCTCGCACGTCGAAGCTAAATGACGAAACGTTTACACCAAATTATTTTCACGGAGTAATATATTCTTTTCAATTTGGAACTAATTTTGTCAAACGACCCCGCTTTCACAAAAGGATATATCTAGGGCTCAGGAATAAAAACCTTAACCAAACCTAAGTTAAATTTGTGAATTTTTTTCGTACAAAAATTTATTTTTATAATTTTTTTTAAAGCTATTCCCAGCTTTATTAATTTCTAGCTGTTTGTAAATTGGATTCTTGAATCACAATTTTTTAAAACCCTATATTACCGATGACCTCCCACGGTTTTTATTGTTTCCATAACGAGCTTCCTTATTAGTTGGTATATTGGATGTTGAACCGCTTTACACAAAGGATCTCATGTTTTAAGTCGCCCATGCGGTTTCTGTTAGAAATGACAGCCCACGGATTCATCGCGAGCCGAGCTGAAATGTGCTGTTATTTACGAACTAAAACGAGGGCGTCCTAGCGTCCAGAACAGGAACCAATTAATTCTTTGAACTAAGAAAGAAACGATTTCATAATTCTTTGAATGTGGGGGTGAAATTGCCCAACGAAAATCTTAACGCCTTTGACTTGTGCAGTGGTCACGTCCCAGCCTACAGAATATGCGTAATTTTGGCTACCGAGTACTTAGTAAAGACGCAGTAAATCATAACAGCCATTTTTTGAATTTTACAGTGGTGGAAGGCCGGGAAGAGAAAGAAATTTGTACCAAGGGGTGACTGACGGTCGAATAAACGATCGCCAGCTTGTGAGGTTAATAACTAAAACTTTCCCTAGTAAGACGCCTGCGCTGCAGGCTAGTCACGTTTTCACAGCATGACCTAAAAATAGCGACGTTGAGGTGCATAAACCTTGAGAAACTTTGTCAAGAAAAAATTAACATTTTCCATTTCGCTTTTATCTTCTTTTCTCTTCACTTACACTGTGTGCATACTTCTTTGGTGTTATCCACCCAGTAAACTTCCAATGTTTTATGGGCTTCTTTTTTCCTGGAGACAATTTCAAATACTTTTTAACCCTTTCACACTCCTAAGATCTCTTTAGTAATTCTCCTTACCGTCTATCATACCATTCTGTATGATGTTAGTTCTAAGAATTTGGTTTTGAATCAAGCAATAATCCTCCAATCGATATTTTCCTTTAATCTTATCATTTGTCTTCTTGATATTATGAGGAAAATATTATGTCTTGGTTAGTCACGGGAGTTACAGATTAACACGATTGAGTCATCACGACTGAACGTCAAATTGGCAAGTAAGTATATTTTGAGGAGGATAACTCATTTTCCTGAGCTACCAAATTAGAGTTAAGGATCGTTTTACCTAAGCAGTGTTAATCTCGAGCCCGTGGTCATCTTGGCTCCTTGTCAGCTGACTTTTTCTTAACATTATTTTTCAATTTTAGTACTATTATTTAAAGTTTTGAAAAAAAAAACAATGACGTTTAGACAGTCCAAGACAACGACGTTTGGTTTGAAAATGGAGGAAAAAAAGGTCTTTTTAGATGGAGAAAGAGGCTTTTAAAACATCAAAATTAACCTGGCACGTCCAATGCATTAACTATTAGGATAGGTCACCATGCCTAAAAATACGGTTTTGTCGTTGGCTCCTTCCTAATCATCTTCCCCAAGCCACAGCGGACCTTTAGAGGCAACGGAGCATGAGTCATCTTTTCTTGAACTTTCCAGTCCCAACTCAACTGTTTTGGCCGTTAGCGTGACTAAGCATAGGCTCGACTTACCCCACTTTCCCGAGTTCAGTCGTAGATGTATCCGAAAAAAAGAAGCGCGGGCTCATTTCCCGATCAGCGGCCACTGATCGCGCCCAAGCTGATCCAACACAGCGGTTAAACGCACGAGAGGATCAAAGTTTCCTTGCAAAATATTCAAGGAAAACGTAAGAAACAACGGCTGTCTAATATAAGATAAGCGAAAGAAAATACAAATTTTCTTTGAAATCTGTGTAAGGAAATAAAAGTAGGGAAAAGGAAAACTCGAAACTTTTTCGTGTAAAAAGCTTGTTTAAGTATGGATATTCTTTTAATTTGCCGCTCTATTTCGAGCTTTGAAAACACCACGACTTATTGGCTTGTGTGGTTGTTTGTAACGTTAATGAGACAACTTGGTTCTGACAGGCTAAAAGCACGCCCAGTCATTACAACGGTCGCCAATGCGCAGACGTTTGACCCTTGTGTTGGGCCATCCAGTGATTACAACCCGTCCTTATGGAAGCAGGCGGGTTTAAAGTCATTTGCTTCAACTTGTCCTATCACGTGTGTAAGCCACATGATAAGTGTTAAAGCCTTGACTGAAGTACGAAGCTGTAGCCGGATCTGTGCCTCTGCTATTCGGGACATTAAAAAATACGCGCTTCTGATTGGCCGAAAACGAGTTCATTTTTTTATGTAACACTGCGAAACACGTAACAGTGAAAAGTTGAAACAAGAGTGCAAATCACAGACAGCGCACACGCTGTCAAAATTTCGTCCGTCTTGACTTTCTGTGATGCTTTTTTAACATAAATTATTAATAACTAATTACATCATCTCTTATATAACTTGGTGTAAGTAAGCATAATCATCAGCATCATCAGATTTATAATTATAATTATTATGATCACGATGTTCATGATATTATTGATAATAACATGCCGGATTTCGAGAGCAATTTCGTGTAAATTAATAACTGCAAACTGCACTCGCCCTTCGGGCTTATGCAATTTTGTTGTCTTTCACTGCGACATTTATATCAAATTGCACTCGAAATCATGTTATTACCGATAATAATAATATGTAATAATAAAAAAAACAAAACTTTATTCATAGATTTTAAAAAAATAGACTATTTACAGATTCAAGAATATGAATATTAAAATATATACCCTATTGTACATTCTTCTTGTGTACGAAAGAGAATTGTTGTAAAATGACTATCTAAAGACTACTAATAACAATTATAAAAAGCATCAAAAAGTTAATAAAGAAATAAAAACTCTCTAAAAATAATAGTTCAAACTGATAGAGTTACTACTTAAATTCTGGCTTGTGCACTTTCCGATGTAATGTCAATGTCAGATATATTGGCTGCTCTTCTCTTGCTCCTGGTTCCTCTGAGACACAGCAAGGCTGATCGTAGGATGGCAAAGGATACTTTCGCCCTCATCCAAGATATGGTTGTAGCGCAGTCATCTCCTTTCTTTAACGCAAGTAGCTCAGCGAGGCGGCTAATTATTATATCATCGGCCATTCCACCTGTGCTTGTAAAGACTAATGGTGTGAATGTCCCTTGCTCCACTTCCAAAACCCGCCTGCTGTATGTAATAATAATAATAATAATAATGATATGTATGTAATAATAATGATAACACTGAACTCATTCAGCATATTTACAGATGGATAGAGAACGAAAACAAATCGTGCTTTATGCACAAAAATGTGTATTAACTCCGAAGAACTTGCAGAACTAAAGCAAAATAAGAGCTCACTGGTAAAGCTATCAACATGAAAGGTAACTATTTAGAATTCAATCTTTCAAATACTTGTGAACTATAAATAGTCTAAAAGTCAATATTTACAAAGAGAACAATGAAAAATAAAACTGAGGATGACAATGGTAATAGCAGCAACTAGAATTTGCTTTTCTGTCTGTCGTCAAGTAACTGCGAGATAATTTTACATTGTTTTTCTTTCAATTGATGAGCTACTGTCGTATGTTATGTTTCTATTCAATTAAGTTCAAGTTTTTGCGTCAGTGGGGCTGCGTAAGAATCACGTAATACCACAATAGCGTTTTATTTCTTGCCAGTACAACGCGTTGTTTTCGTTAGACAATTTTCATTGCTGGTTGATTTCAACTAAGTCGATTAGTCGTTTCTTTAGCGCCGTGTTACCTTTGTTTAAGAAGAGTTTTTCTACCGTACCTGGTTACGCCACAAATTTCGAATCACATTTACACATCTACACATCTTTATATCTCAATATTTGTCTATCTGGTAGTTAGATTAAACGTGCATTCATGTTGTGGCGTAAAACATGTAATATTTAGCTACAACAATAATAATAATAATAATGATAATAATAATAATAATTGTGATAATTCTGATGATACAGCAGCGACAACAATAACTGAAGCGAAAATGATGATCTGTGATAGCGATAATGATACTTACGATAAAGATAATAATAATAATAATAATAATAATAATGATAACAATAAATTTTATTGCACCAAATGGTGAACAACTAACTAAAAGACACAGTCTAGAATGAAAAAAAAATTTTTAAATTTATTTATATGTGCACGGAAAGTTTCTTAAAACTCTCCGAAACGCTCTCAATAAAACATCAACTATAATAATAGGAGGAGAAATTAAATAATCCATAACAAGGACACGTATACTACCTATATACAGACACAAACACGCTTGCCTTTCACTTACAATGAAAAATGCCAGTTGATAATGATGCATCAAGATGTAGTTTGAGAGGAAGCGGTAGTTGCAATTTGATTGTGGTTGCGGATAGCGTATGGTTACGGATAGCCTTACGATTGGCTGACGGGGGGAAATCACGGCGAGATGTCGTCGGCCCGGATAATTTTTCGTCCGGAGGAAGACGCTAGACGGCCCGTATGTTTTTCTTCTCAGCGGGCGCGGCTTGGTGCTCTTCCGCTTGCATATCCTAAATGTGGACGTGACAATCCATAAGGAAGTCGACCCCATTGCCTATCTCATCCCTGGAATGAGGACTATTGATAGATTATAACTCAATCACGGCCCAGTTCCAAATCTTGATAAGTTATTTTTGGATGTAAATGCAGATGGAAGTGTGATCGACATTTTTCGCCTGTTCTAGAAAATGAGAAATTCAACCCTGTCCAACACCCTTGTAAGATAAATCAGCACATTTCAATTCCAGACTGCAATACAGGACTGTAATGATTTAGTTAAATTTTCCAACCAATATGATCATTTTGGCTTCGAAGTGTCGATAATAGATCTGCTTGCTTTGCGAAATTTGTCAAATTACTTGGGTGTTCATCTGTTATCGTTCTTCCAATAGAAATGTAGTCCGTGAGACGATCATATCGAATACTTCATGGAATCTCCGAAATTATTCTCGAACAGAAAATGTGATTACGTTGTTCTAAAGTCCAGACATAAAAGGGCACGTGCGTGGGCGCACCTAACAAACTAGTTAATTAAATTGTTCTAACTTTTGATTTATGACAGGAGTCTTATGTTACCTCCCTGCGATTAAAAGCGGAAAACTGTTGACACAAGTGTTTTTTCATTCATGATGTGTCACCTTTAAAACTTCGATCCGTTCTTCCAAGCATAATTATTGATGACACATACAAGTGCAACTGTAGCCAGAAAAATCCCAACAAATTAAATTTGTTTATTTATCTGCAGCTTGCGTGACTCGTGCGATTAGAATGGCTGACTGGCTTCATCAGTGCGACGCAGTTGGATATTCGCGAATCTGATCAAATGTTCTTTCCTAAAAGCGGGATTTTTACTGTTACGTGATTAATATTATCCAATTTTCAGAAAATTTATGTCAAAATCCTAAGCCGGAAGAGTCTAAAGTGTCCAATAGAAGCAATTCTTTGAAACAGTTGATCTGTTTGACGTTGTAAACATACAGTTCCCGCCGTGTCGATCAGCCAATCAAATTTTGTTTTGGTTTTTTTTTTTTACCACGTGACGTATCTCATTCCATTACTCAAAGCCGTTTGTTAGAGTTTGTTGAGTGTTCTTCAGTTTATGTTTTCGTGGCTGAGTTCCGTTTTTCTTTCTTCGAATGTGTAGACTTTCTACAGAATCTGTTGAATCATGAGCAGAGCTGTAACGGCGGATTTGAGGCGCAATAGCATAGATTTTCTTGGCGTGTCTGGTTCGTACACAGAAAAACTTTCTTCGAGTACGAATTCGATCGACGGCGAAACCATACCACTGCGGAGAAAGGGTTTTCAACATGAGCAAGATTCGAAGAGGAGCGGAGATTTTTCAGCTCACAATGGACACAGAACTAAAGAGGATAAATCTGTGGGATTTAGCTCAGGGAGAACATGTGGTTGTCGTCCGGAAGAATACCGAAAAATACAAAACTACTGCTTTCGATTTCTGGAGATGCCTAAAGGACCTTTTAGCATCTTGTACCATGCTCTTTTGTAAGTAGAAACTTTTCTTGTTGATCGTTACCAGAAGCGAAGAAATTGATATTTTATCGGCGAAAATTGGATGAATCTCGATTTATTTCGTTTAATAACTCGCTTCATCGCGGGAGCTGACGACAAGAAAATGGGCACTTTTCTTTTGTTGTTAAGTGAAAATTAGTTCCTAGGATCTGTTTCTCTAAAGGCAATAAATAATTCGTAACGTCTTCCGATCTGTTTTAATTTTAAAGCGATCGCATTTTCACCTGGGGTTCGTAAGTGTACAAGTTCCTTGTTTTGATATTTTCGCACTCGACACGTCAAGTTTTTACTAAACAGTAAACACACAAACATGAATATAACCGAGCGTGGTAATTTTCACTTTCAATTCTACTACGTGCCCAACTGAAATTTTTTCCCGTGCGTTTTTAATACCAAGATAATGCTCTTCAATCAACTTTGAAATTTAACGCTAATTAGTTCACTTGGATGTGCTCTCTGCTTGCAAGTCGAGATAATTTTTTTGCTATTAATTAGCCTTGCGTGAGAATTAAAACTCTTCGCATTGCAAATTTTAGCGATCAGATGGGAACTTATTCATGAGATTAAAACGACTCGAAGCTTTGATTTACTGTACAACGAAGTAGACCTTGTTGAGGACTAGGCGCACTTTTTAATAATGAAGTCTATAAACGGTACCTATTTGTACTGGTAAGACTGAAATATTATTTTCTTGTTTCTTGTCAAATTATTCTGGTATAGCTTTGAATGGAGTATTTGTGAACTATTGTGAATTTTATTTATTTTGTGCACTCAAAATCAATTCTTGAATCACTTGGAAAGCGTTTTTTCGTCAAAATACTTGGTGAATCCTTAAAATAATCTGAATCGGAACGTTCAAAGCATTTTGTTTTTCTATCGAACACGTAGACCTTATTCAAAATGTATAAAGTTCCCCTGATTTATTACAAATCACTCTCTAATTAACCTCATTTATAATGTGCTATGTGGTTTTCAAGACATGTTGTCGGCGAATAATTTAATTCACACATTATTATACTTTTTGGCAATTATCTCAGTCCTAGATTACATGTTTGTCTTGTTCTTTCCATTCTAGGCAATATTTTTACAATGAACAGCCTTCAATGTTTTTTGCCAAGCTGTTCATTGGAGAGATAAAATTACACTCTACCCTTATATGTCAATCTGCACTCTACGATTTTCCTCGGAAACAAAAATAGTGGTTTCATTTGCATATTCAAAGAACAAACATCTCTCAAATTTTTCATCAGGGAGATCTGTTTTTAAAAGCCAATTGTGAATTATTAAGAAGATTCTGTTGCATTATTTGGTCAAAAAAATAGAAAAGGTTTGGTGAAAAAGCACTTTTTTTCCAACAGATTCTAAATTTGGATTGCTCAAATTTTTTGGCACTGAACCCTTGCTGGGCATGTTTGGCAACTGGGAAAAAAATAAAATAGACCACACAAAAGACTGTTGAAATATTTTGCCCAAGTGTGAAGTCAGCATCGGAACCAATGATCATTTCAAAGAAAATACATTGGGGCAAGGATTCTCCTCTCTTTTCATGTGAGGTTTTCTGCCAGACAAAACTATCTGAAAGAAGCAAAATATGACAGAAACTTATTATATATAAGTGAAAAATATTGCTTTAATATGTGTTTTAGAACTAACCGGCAAAACTTAATTACCTACTAACAAACATTCACATCCTTTTTTTTGTCATTGTGGTAATGTTTTCTTTTCGTCTCAAATTTTTTTATGTGTGTAGTGTTTTTCGTTGATAAGCCTGCAGTATGAGAGTAAAAATCTGTTAATGTAAAATTGGATTCATTAGCCAAGGTCATCTTATCTTAAATGTGTCTCCAGCAGTCTTAATGTGTTTCTGTCTAAATATAAAATCATTCTTCACAAGAGCTGTTTCTGTTTTTTCTGCGGTCAAAAGTATTAGCTACAACAAGGGTTTATTAAGTGCCTGTTGTTTCTGGCCTGTCCAATATCTGTTCCATATTAGTTTTTTTCGTCAAAGAATGTATCCAAGACTTTGGTGGTGTAACAACCTTGCGGTTGTCATGAAAGGAGTCTTCCCATTAATTCCTATCAGAGTGTAAGACAGTGTGTTGAGGTGTTGATTAAATGACAAATGCTTTAGGTGTGAAAATGATATTTGACCATTGAGGAGTTTAATCTGTTCAAATGCTGTTATCCTGGCTAATACATTTGAGTTACCTTTTCTATATTTTCATATAGGGGGGCTTACTTTCACAATTACTGTTGGTACATTGGAGCGTTGCTTGCTTTACACAAAGGAATGAACATGTTTATTTTTCGATGAATTCCCTTTTTGCAAAGTGGGCCTTCATTCGGTATAATTCCTTTAAAATCATTTCTTGTTTGTCGTATGTATATCTTTTTATTCACTCTTGCTTTTGGTCCAACTGTCTCCCAAAAGCATCTACAAAACCACAAGTTTGAGATTTTTTGATAGGGAAAAGCACTGGATGGAAGGACATAATCCTCTTATGATTTTGCTCACAGATTACATAACTTTTTCTGTCACCTCTACTCATGTCAAATCTTATTTACTTAATTGCTCTGGTTTTGGTTTGATATGAAAGATTCTTTCATCCCACATAACAACAAAAATAAACATATCAGATTAATACAGGATGATGACCCCACAAGTGTCTTGGGGCATTTTCGCTATGATATATGTCAGCGTATTAATGATGGCATATGCTATGTGTTTAAAAGGTCAAGCAGTCTATTTATTGATTCTGGAGTAAAATTGTGGCATGTATGATTTTCTGAGTGTTCTTAATTTGCTTGCAGATTTTTCCTGGTGATTGTAAGTTTGATTTTAAGTGTGCTGAGCACAGTGCGAACAAAGGAAGAAAACTATGAAGAAGTTTTAGAGACACCAATTTTAGTAGTGGTGAGTGTCTGAGAAACAGTGAGCAGAAGAAAGCATTGCATTTGAAAGCTGTGACTTTGATAAGGAGCATGATGAACATTGCTTAAAGCCATTTGTGTCACTGCAGGAAGTAGGAAAGAATTTTGGCCACAGAATTTGTGATAAAACTTGCCAATTTGGTGTCCTTTGCCTGACTTGTATGTTGCAAGTTTCATGCATTATTACTAAGTGTTTAAAGTCTGAGATTGAAATAAGAAAAGATTTGCATAAAATATCATGTAATGTGACATTAAACTTGTCAGTTCCCGTTTATTTTGTGCATGTTTTTTTTTTTTGTCAAATGATCTGTTATGGAAATCTGACAATTGGAAATGATGAAGAGGCCCAGATCTCATATCTAAAGAGCGTACTTAAATGTGTCTTTGCTTTTGAGGTTTCACTAACAAAATTTAATTCCAATTTTGTTCTATTTACAGGAAATTATTTTAATAGTGATATTTGTAGTAGAGTATTGTGTCAGATTTTGGGCAGCTGGTTGTCGCAGTGCGTACGTAGGGATTAAGGGAAGATTACGCTTTGCTGTACAGATATATTCTTTAATAGGTATGATTCTCATTAAATATTTAATTTTGTTTTTTCTTTTTGTGGTACTGTGTTTCTATGTGGCTCAGATAATAGAATTAATGAGATCATTAGCTTGTAGTCAAGTTTATGTTTATGTGTATTAAGTCCTGCAGCAGTTGCATCAGGCTTAACCCTTTAACCCCCATGAGTGACCAGGATAGAGTTTCTCCTTACAATATCAATACAACATCAACTAGATAAGTGATGAGAATAAAGCAAAATATCAATTTGGGTATAATTAGTTGATCCAATACTAAATTCTCTGCACTAACTTTATGAGAATTGTATGGTTGACAGTAAGGAGGATTACAAGTTTGATCTGGGACTTAAGGGCTTGACAGGGGCTGCTACAGTTTTGCTGCTCTCCTGTGCATGTCACTTCAGTTTACTCCTGGTGCATCTTGTTTAACATGCTTATAAGCTGCTGCTGTCACCCTTTCTTCCAACCTCACTGCCAAGTATTGGCTCAGTATTTGTAGTCTTTTATTGGTGACCAGTGAAAGAGTGCCAGGGTAGATTAATCAGTCGCAGGGTTGCCATTATTAGTGAGCTCCTGCTTAAGAGTTAGTTCTTGGCTCCAGAAATGCAAAGGCACCTCTGCCTTGCTATTATATGATTTGGAAAGGTTTAAATTCTTGTAAGATGTTGTATTTCCTTGAATAAGTGCCCGGGAGGAAGTTAGTTAGGTTAGTTCAGCAATGGGAAAGTAATTAAAAGAACAGGTAAATTATGCTTATATTATATAAGAACTCTACAAGCACATGGGGACAGAAACAACTGGAGCAGAAAAGAAATTATTTCCCCATACTGATTCCACTGTAGTTGAAGCCTAAAAATTTTAAATAGAGTGGCAATAGAGACAGGTTTTCCTTGAATCCACATTGTTAAGAAACTGAGGGAAGGAGGTGGGGGGGCATTTGTTTGACATACAGCCTTGTTGGCACTTTTTGGGTGAAGGTGCTTTTTAGAGTGTAAATGCTTATTTGAGGAAATATAATATGTGGCAATTTTTAAAGGTTAATTGTGTGATTTTTTGTTGCAGATATGGTCGTCATTGTTTCTTCAATTGTAGCTGTGTCCCTGGCTAGCAACATGTCTTCTTCTCCAATTAGGTATTACGACATTTTTTGCCTGTTTCTTGGGTTTGAATTTTTGCTCTCATTCTTGTACATAGTTTTGATTACATTGATTCTCTGTTTTTATGTCCAAGGTTACTGAGATTTCTACCACTCCTTCGGGTTCTGAGATTCGACAGACAGGGAGGAACGTGGAAACTCTTGGGCTCTGTGATCTTTGTCCATCGTCAGGTGGGAATAAAAATAATATTAAACTCAGTCATCTTGAACTATAAACTTTTCAGTTTTACAATATCACCCCTGAATCACACATTAATGTTGCTAGAGTAAAAGAAATGATCACCTTCTTAAGAAGTTCTTGATTGTTAAAAAAGTTCTTCTTGTCAGCACCTTAGGAAATGTATTAAGGATGGTATGGAGAATATGAATACTGATGTCGCTGTTTTAAGGGTTAATAAGAGTGATTTGATGTGATATTTCTCTTTGTTTTCAGGAACTTCTTACGACATTTTATCTTGGTTTTATCAGTTTAATATTTGCATCCTTTGTACTCTACATGGTTGAAAAAGATTCAAATAGTGATTTTGACAGCTGGCCTAGTTCCTTTTGGTGGGGAGTTGTAAGTATCAATGTAAATTGACTTTACTATTGTGCTGGAACTTTTTTTTTTCTGTTAATATTCACTTTTTCTTTCTTGTCTTGTCCACTCTTCTCTTTCTCTTTCTTCTTTCACCCATCTCCTCCCTCCTCTACTTTCTAATTCTGTCCACCTCCTTTATACCTTCCCACCTCACTCTATTCCCTTTCATCTCCCATTCCCTTGGCAGTCTTTTTATCCCTTTTATTTTCCCACACCATCCTGCCCATTCCTTTACTTTCCTTTTTTCCCTCCTTCTCTCAACTCCCTCTTATCCTTCCCCCTCCCTTGTCCTTCTGCCCACTCTGCCCCATCCCCTCTCCCCTCCCTCTCTCCCTTCCTTTCTTCCTTCCCTCCCTTTTTCTCTCCCTCCCTCCTTCCTTTTTCTCCATACCCTTCCCTTCTTCTCCTCCTCCCTCCCTATTTATTCTTACACCCTCCCTCCCTTTGTCTCTTCCTCCCTCCCTCCTTCCCTGTTATCTCCATACCCCTCCCTTCCTCCCTTATTCTTCTTACACCCTCCCTTTTTTCCATACCCCCTTCCCCTCCTCCCTCCCTCCCTCCCTCCTTTTTTCCATACCCCCTTCCCCTCATCCTCCCTCTCTCCCTCTCTCCCTCCCTCCCTCCCTTTTTTCCATACCCCCTTCCCCTCCTCCTCCCTCCCTCCCTTTTTTCCATACCCCCTTCCCCTCATCCTCCCTCTCTCCCTCCCTCCCTTTTTTCCATACCCCCTTTCTCTCCTCCTCCCTCCCTCCCTTTTTTCCATGCCCCCCTTCACCTCCTCCTCCCTCTCTCCCTGTCCTTCCCCCTCTCTTCCCTTCCTTATCTCCTCCCTCCTAATATAGACAACACTCTGTAATGTTGCAGGTCACCCTTACAACAGTTGGGTATGGTGACACTGTACCCTCCACCTGGTATGGAAAGTGTTGTGCTGCTTTGTTTTTTATCTCTGGAATCTCCTTTTTTGCTCTTCCTGCTGTGAGTATTGAGAGTTATTACATTGGATATGTAAAATAATTTACCCATTTAACATAAACTCTTTTACTCCCTGAGTGACCAAGAGAGAATTTCTCCTTACAACAGTGATACAATATCAATCAGATATTAAGTGTTGAGAGTAAAGAAAAATATCAATTTGGGGATAATTAGTTGATCCAATACTGAATTCTCTGAACTAATATTACAAGAATTGTATGGTTGACAGTAAGGATAATTACAAATTTAATCTAGGACTTAAAGAGTTAAATAGTGGAATAATCTAAACTTGGTAATTACTGGTATATTACTTGTATAAGACTGAATTGCACTGTAATGCGCCCAGGATTTGAAAGAGAAACTGAGTGAGTGGAAAAATAAATATGTGGTTTGATCTTTGATGATTACTTGCCTGCATTTAGCTATTTCCAGGTTCGAAAAACTCTCATTTTCAAATTTCCTCTAAATCAAATCTTTCTCACAAAAGTCGGCTTTGTTGACCTGAGAGCAAAAACTGCTAATGTGTATCAAAGGCCTCATTTTGATTTAGGGATGTTGGCGTTCTAAGAAGTGGACTTTCCTCTATACATTGCAATTTGAGCTCTGTGGTGCAGTATTTTGGATCACAGTCAGCCTTTTCTGTGTTCTTTAAACTTTCACTATTTGAATGAGGCTGAGTGTAAAACCTTAATTGTGAAAGTAAGTTTTATTTGCTCCAGAATCAAAAATTGTGTTCTTATTTAAGGCTGTATACCAAGGTTTGTGTTATAGCATAGGCTTTACTATTGTGATGTTTAAAGCAAAGGCTTAGTGTTTCTAGTAATTGCCAGTTGTTGATGAATATTCAGTTTTATTTTTTCATTGTTTTCCAGGGCATTTTAGGATCAGGATTTGCATTAAAGGTCACACAACAGCAGAGGCAGAAACATTTTCACAGGAGAAGACGGCCAGCTGCAATTCTCCTTCAGGTATTAAAAAAAAATTTTTGCTATTTTGCCCAAAGATTTATTCCAAAAACTTCCAATTGTAACTTTGCAAGAACTTTGTAATTTTGATATTTTTCTAAAATACCCTTTGACTCTTAAGGGTGATCAGCATCTAATTTCTCCTTGTAATAACACCCTGGAGGCAAATGCTAAGGTCATGAGAATAAAGGAAATGATCACCAACTAAAGAGGCTAATTGTTGAAGAACCTTAGGAAATTTTTCGAGAACAGAAAGGAGAATATGCATACTGATTTTAGTTTTGTTCTTCATCTATTCTCTACAGTCATACTGGCGGCTTTTCTGTGCTGATCTAGACTCAAAATCAGTAGCAACATGGCTGCCGTCAATTTACTACAATCGCCAGCAGCACCTCTTGAAGGCTGTAATGGAGAAAACCGGCACCACAGGTATGGTGGGAGTGGAAGATGATAGTCCTCATCTATCAGATTCACAACGTAAAAGGAAACGGTCTCTATGGACAAAGCAGAAAGGGTTTAGAAGAGAGTCATATGATGTGCATTCCACTAAATCTGATTCACAATTGACTGCTAATTATGACAGGAAGGCTAGCACCTGCAGTGTATTAGACAGTGATTTTATTGGTGAGACATTGCCCATTTTGTGACTTTAACCCTTTTGAGCCCAAGAGTATAAAAGGAAAGCCCATGCACATGTTTTGGCAAGTAGTCTGGATTCAGCCCAGTTTTCAATCCTTTAATTCTGATTAGCAATAAATGGCTGTGTTTTTTATGTGGCGATAGGATTAATTTATAGCAGAGCAGCTCGCATTAAGCCTGTAAAATGTCCAAAAACTCAATGGTACCAGAAAAAAAAGAAAGAAACAGTGCCAGCAACTTTCCTTCAAATGGTCACAGAGTAATGTCTCAGCCATAGACTTGTTAAAACTCTATAGCAAACTCATTCAGCATAGAATTACTTTTGCGTATGCAAGTGTTTCTGTAAAATGTCCACAATAGCCAAAATTTTAAAAAAAATTGACTGGCCAAGGATCTAACTCTGGGTAAGAAAGGGTTAAAGTTTGTTATTGTCAGACAAAAAAAGACAATATTTAGGGCTGGTTTTTGTGAGTGATGAAGTTGATGGAGAACGATTAAGAAGCTGAGAGGCTGTGGAAATATTGCAGATGGTGGCATAAGCATCGAATATCCTTACTTTGATGCCAATCTTATCAGATTGGTGCATTCAATCCTGGTGTCCACAAAAAATCCAGAAAAGAGCTGCAATCACAAGTCATCATCAGCCTCATCTGCAGCAGTTCAATCTATGGGCCCTGTTGCCTTACCTTCTATCAACTTCTTCCTGCAAAAATCAGTTCTAAATCTTGTATGGGCATTATATACAACTGAGAGTCATGTTTAACTCTTTCCACTGCTTTGGTTGATAAATTGTAACTTAATTCTCTGGGAACTGGGGGTAGCCCTACAGACAAGCACTTTGGCAAATTTAAGTGCGAAGTTCTGTGAAAAAACTCTGAGAATGTTGAAGATTGTGCCAAAAACTTATATTATATGAATTGAATGTTTCCTAAAAAGTGTCAATGTCAGGAAACAATATTCCACCCAATACTTTCTGCAAGATTGGGTACTGCTCTGTTTTTGGAGATGCTTTCCTTGATTTGGCTTCTGGAGAAAGAGTTAATGAGTGATTCTAACTTTTAACAGTAAGATATGTGTGGCAGATTTGCTGTTTTTTTATTTTTCTCACATTATTTTTGTTTATTTTTCTTTTATTAGTAAGAATGCACCAGTGAACTAGCACTTGCACATTCTTCAGCACTTGCAAGAACTAACAAAGCAATCCACTGTTTTACAGAAAGATAGGCACTAGCCAGTGTGAAATATGGGATTCCTGTAGCATGCATATGCTTGCATAACTGTTTGGTTAAAAATTTATTTTTAAAATGACGAATGAATACTTTGTTACCCTGATTAACACCAACAGCAATGAAAACGAGTGACTTTCAATAATTGAATTTTGCTACAGTAAATTACAATGTTTCAACTGCAAAATCTGAAACAAGTTTCTTGATTAGTAAGGTTGACAGGCATAAAACAAAAAAAAGAGTAAAATTTAAGTTTAGCTAATATTTTTTTTCTTAAAGAACATTCCAAATTTTTTGTATAAATGAATCTGAATTTGGGAATACTCAGGTCACTCAGAGCTTACTCATAAACAATGTTCGTAATCTCTGACCATCTAAATGTAAAATTGTGAATGTAAACAAAATAATGTTCAAGTCTGGTAGGCAGACTATCTATAATACTGACCATTGGTATTTCTTTTATTATTGTAAATATGCATGAAAAAGCTTCCATACCCTTTAAATTTAAGTTTTGTCTTAAATTATTGCATGGTACTGCATTTCCTCTACAAGGGACCGCCCTATTATTCTTTGCCTCTCTCCCCCATCTCCCCTCCCCTTCCCCCCCCCCCCCCCAAAAAAAGGAGGTGATTGACAAAGGACGGTTTCCAGCACCGTTTTGAAATCAGCTACGCAATGTTTAATTCTTGAATAAATTTGAAAGAGGTTAAGTCCCCTCCCCGAGGGCCCCTAGTCGAGGAAGTACAGTTCAATTAACTAACATTTAAAATTTAAAATAAACTTCGATCTATCTTCAGCTGAGAGTACCAGATCGAAATTCGGTTCCGTCAACAGCCATGATGCAATAGTGACGATGCTGTCATCACATAATGTTCATTGTTCAATCGTTCACTCCAGAAAGCAATCAATTATACCCTCGATTTGGGGCGGTAAGTGATTGACAGTTGATTGACGGTGATTGATAATTATCAGGGAGTCTCTAAACTTGACTTTTGTGATAACAGTAAAGTTGAGCTATTTAAAAGAGAATCTAATAGATTTAAATATGTTATTTGAAACGTGCGGTGCTCTATCAAACTTTAAAATATTGTAAAAATTATGCCTTTGTAGTTCATTTAATATATTTTCCAATTCATAACTTAGACAATTATTAAACCGCAGTGAGAGTTATATTTGACAAAAAAAACTATAACGCCGTTGCACAAAATCAAAGTTGAATGGGACATGATTTTTAAAAGAATATGCTGAATTCAAGGACGACGGTCTTTTCTGCTTGTATAGTTTTGAAGGATATTTAAACTTCTAATCAGGTAAATTTTACATAAACAAAAACTAACATTTGTCTTTTTACTTAATTTTCATCTCGGCCAGGTGGGTATATCTATCTTTATGTATCAAGCAATCATGCGCAGGAAACACTAACCAGTTTGCATATCTTTGTAGTTAATAAATGCTAACCTAAGTATGATGACGTAATCTTAACAAAAATAGCCGCTGATTGGTTGTTATTTACGCGCGAAAATTCAAAACTGAGACACTCAATCAGAGGTAATTGGCGCACAGGTCATCAGAGGGGATTTGTGAGTGCATTTTTTGACGTCACTCGGGCAATGTAGAGTTTGAACTCAAATAATTATGGTAGGGAAACTCTGTTTATTCCATATTCCCGATTAGCTTAACCTCTTTCCTCTACGATATTGCAGATGAAAATGCGCTGTTGGCTTTACAGACAGACGGAGAACGACCATGCATTGAGTAAGTGTCTTTTTTTGTGGATGTTTTAGCCAAATATTCAGGGATTAAATGGGGTTTGTCAACTTTGTTAACTCATATCCCAGCAGTACTTGCTTTCTTCAAAGGTCTTCAATCTCAGCTTTAAAATAAATTACTTTCTTTCCACAGGTTGACAAATGCTCAAAAGTTGGCCATTCGTCTCATTCGAATCCTAAAGCTCAGGGTTGCAATAAGGAAATTCAAGGTTAGGGCAATCCCCGATTACTTTGGACACTTACTTGAAAAATGCTCCAACTTTTTTATCATCTTTTTTTGTACTTTCTCGTTGTGCAGGAGGCTAGGAGACCATATGATGTTAAAGATGTTATTGAACAGTATTCAACAGGTCATGTCGAAATGTTAGCAAGAATTAAAAGTCTCCAGGCCAAGTAAGGGCATAAGAAATATAATTTTAGACTATTATTTGATAGTCATGTCAAGCTAGACGGTCATGGTAGGTTTCAGCGGAGAGAAAATTGAACTGCACCTCTTGGTTTCAAGGAATCTTGCGAGCTGTCACGTGACATGAAACGGAGTCAGAGACCAATCATAATGCCTGTGAGCAACATAACAACCAATCAGAACTCGACAAAAATACACGTGACCAACGCCAGGCACTCCAAGCGCTGCAAAATGCACGCGCCATAATCGTGATTGATTTTGATTGGTCGAGGAAGTTACGCGTGTTTCTGTTGAGCCAATCACAGTGCGATGTTCAGCGAAACTAAAGCACATGCTAGTCTTTTTTTAAAAGTTGTGTAAACTGAACTTTTTATCTTTTTTCTCATGCAATAAATCTCTTCTAAGCGTTGTAGACGTCTATCATTCGTGTGATTACATTTCCAGTGACTCTTCGCTAAAAAAGCAAATGGACGTGATTCAGTGAAGTGCGATTCGCTTTTTTCTTAATGAAAAGGCGTACACCGTGTGTTGTAAAATCTATAGTGGTAGTCGTATGTATGTTGTAAAACCTGTGGCTTATTATTTTTTACTTTAGGATGGACAAATCTCACAGGAGTGAAGGAGGTAGGTAATAAAGTTGTTACACAGGAAATTTGAGTGCTAACTGGAGGAATGTATCGAATCGCTCATCATCCAAAGAAACATTTATCTTACGGCGACGTACAGAAGTTTGAGAATTCAAACGGAGGAACACCTTTCTCGTAGAAAACAAGAGTGACAAAGTTTAGTTTTGGATCTGACTGATTGAGAAAATTGCGCATTTTTACAAAAGCTAGTTAAGCGAAACCATTGCAATCCCTTATTGCATTCGACTTTTCAATGAAAATTATTTTACGAGATACAGGGTTGGAGAGTGCAAGACACTGACACTGTTAAGTTCACGCTAGGGTTGACAAAACAAGATGGAGGGGAAGGGACTGGGCTGTTAGTATTTGCAAAGTTGAAGACTCTTCTTTTTTTTTTCCAGATGATGAAGGCGCAGGAAAAGTAGACGTAACCAAAAGACTTTCTCGGGTGGAACATCAAGTGACTATCATAGATTCTAAACTTGAGCTGGTTCTGCAGATGCTGCGGAGCCTTCAGAGCACTCGTGAGTCTCCATCGGGTGGCAGCAACTCTTACGATTTGAATTTTCGCGAAAATGGCGACGGTGTTTCCTCCAGGCGCTCCTCAGTGACCCGCGCGCATTCTGACCCGTTAGACGTTCGAACCCAAATGGTTCCAGGCACACACAGCGCTACTACCCACGTGGTAAGATCGTCGGATATTCCTTGCGTGACGCTAAGTTATCCTGAATCTTGCCATAGCTCAGGGTCACGCCCAGGCTCTCTGAGTTCCACGCAGTCGCAGTCCCTACATGGAAGTCTTTCGGGTGGAGATCAACACCCAAACTTGGACCACTTAGATGCAGTTTACGATACTGATGCGACTGCTCTGAACGCCCCACCCTCGTCACGTAATCTTGGAACGGACAAGAGGCAATTGTCAGACGTGACAGAAGCGGATGAGAGTCTTGCGGATTCGAAAGAGACTGTTGGTGGGCTGACTCCCCCCGGACCAATTTCTCATCAAAACTCTACTGCGTCTGATACTGATCCCGTTCTGGGGGATACAGACAGCCCTACTGAGCAGAATGGTGAGGAACCGGTGTGGGAAAAAAGAGAAATAGGTTTAGAAACGAGACGGCGTAAACGAAGTCTCTTGAACTTATCGGAGTCCGAAACACAAATGCCAGAACATGAAGAGGTTTCACAGGCAGAAGAAAAAGACTCAGATGAATGCGACATCGCTGAACGATATCAAGGGACACCAGAACGAAGGGACTCTCTCACAGGAGAAAGGGACACTTTACCAAGGGGTGCTCAGGTGGAGTCGGAAGGTGCTCCATCTTCCCCTCAAACCGTTGAAGAAGGACACTATGATTCATCAGTGAGATCTACGCCTACGCGGATGTCGGCGAAGCGGCGCCCTCTTGTAAAATCTAACCCTGTTGAGGTATAGATTTATCAGAAGCTAAACGTCTCAAAGACTGGCGTGACTACCAAGGAATTATGATCACAGAAAGTATAGGCTTACGCTGAATGCGTCTCCAAGAGGAACTAGTCCAAAAGCGTTTTTAGCCTATTCAGGCTCCGCGCTCATTGAGTGAACGAGATCCCCAAGGGTTTCAGTTGCTTGTCAACTTAGAAAACTCTTTCGTCCCTGCGGATGTTCTTACACGAATTTTCCGCCCTTTCGATGTGGCTGCTGTTGTGAATGATCAACTAGTTCAGCGTAAACCGCGGGCTCAGGAGAGTGGTACTTATTCCTCTGGCCGCGTGCTTTGATCACGGAAAAACATGATGTTAGAGAAATAGAGTTATGTCTCTTTTTCGTGTAAAAAACAAAAGCCGCTAAAAATTCAGTGTTGACCCGCCACGCAACAAGTTTAGAGCTTAAAGTAAACATTAAAGATATTAATAACTACATTTCACGAACGCCATTGGAAATCTTCTCGATGAAAGATTTCCCAGGAAGCTGGACCTCCTTATATGGTGCGATGCTTAATATATACAAAGATTCTTAATTGCATGAGGATAGAGTTTGCGGATAAAATATTGTGAACTAGTTAAAAGTAATTTATTGGAGCGGGCATGATGCTGAGTCAGTTCGTTGCAAACAGAAGTTTTGATCTTTGATCTGAAAACGTGCAATATTCGCCTCAGAAGGTTTTATAATTTGACTGTTGTTGGGTTAGGGGAGGGTTAAGTGCGCAGTTGTTCAGATACTGACATAGATTTGAATTTAACATCAGCCGTGTAATGGTTTTGGACACGAGTTTGGTTTTTAACGAGAGAAAAATATTTTCTCTTGCTTTAGATAATCATGAAATATGAACATTATTTAAGTCTCAGATGAGTGTTTTCAAATGCTGCCCTTTTATCGACGTTACTGAGAATTTTCTCGTTAAAGGTGTATTTTTATATTTTTAAGAGGAACTGACCTGTGTAACAACTATAATAATGTACAGTTTGATAAAAGGAAAAAGTCCCATCATTCTGCTTGGTGTGTTTCTTGAAATTTTTTCGTGGTGTATGCTAACATAGTGTTTCCACCTGTGACATGACTAAACGCAAGGACATTTCTCCAAACACTTTACCTAGTCCTCCATTAAAGGATGTATCTGTCCCTTTTTGGTTAGGATCAGGGACGGTTAAGTTCTCCCCAGGTCTACGCATTAAACAAAATGGAGTCCACAACATATTTTGAAAGGTTCTGCTACTTAAAGTAAACAGTTTTAAGCCTACCTCTTTATTCTCACACTGGTTTGATAGCTGGATGCTAATAGACTGCTTATTGAATGAGTGTCGTAAAACTAAAGCCAAAGTTATCACTACGACCAATCAGAAAAAAGGATAATAAACAGAAGAGCCAATGACAACTCAAGGTAAAAACGAAACTACCAGAAGGACGGGAAAACACGCGCGGCCAAGTCGTGATTGGTTTTAGTTTTGCATCTGATTGGTTGAGAAAGAGGTAAAGCAAAACCTATCCATTCCAGGGTTACTTTCGACACTTTGAATATGGCTCCAATGGACCAAAGATTTTCCAAGTCACAACAAGAAAGACTAATGTTTAAAAAACTTTTTTTTTTATAATGACACAAGGATAATCTTCACTCAATTACAAGTTCCAGTTTTTCACTCAGCGGCAACAAACCAAATTTTTCAGGCCTCTTTTTATGATTTGCAATTTTGAATTATTGTACTAAACCTCATAGTGATTTCTAGATTTCAAATGTCAGTACACAAGAAATGATATATGCAATTCAATTAAATAAAAATCATCGAAACCACCAACCACAACTGCCGTTAACGATTTACATCGATCAAAATCAACACATTCAAATAATATTTTCAGTCTGTAGCGACAATGTATTGAAGACAGCCTATCAAACATTAGGTGATGGGCATCCAAATGGCATTTCGTCATTCGTCCTTGACTAATGCCCCGAAAATAAGAAAAGTAATACAGCTTCATAAATTAATTATGGTTGGTTTTTTTTTTAAGGTGGCACACACTTGTAATTCAGTGTGATTCAGTAGTATATTGTTTTCGTTTAAAATCCTTGAACTCTTAAGATCTTACTGTTAACTCTCCCCTCTAGCTATTATAGATTCCTTTGTAACTTACAAGAATTTAGTATTATATCAAGATACCAACTATCTGTTAAGATGAGAATTCTTGTTATTGATTTGCTGGATAATGTTTGGATATTTCAGAGGGAAGTTACATTTTAATCGTTTCTAGTAGATAAAGAGTTAAAAGACTACACTATTGTTGATTATTATTACAAATCCATATAAAAACTGGTCCCTAGAGATAATTTCTAATTCTACTGCCTTGAAATTTCCAAAATGTTCTGGGTGGTGGATGAAAGTTTGTACAGCTCGCCGTTATGTCAACCAAAGTCTATTGTCACCTAACACTGCTGCATCAGATTGAGTCACATGACAACCATTCTCCAAAATACGTTAGCTTGCTTTTCCTAGGTCAATTTTCTTTTGCAATGCTCGAGCTGAATGGTAAATCATAGAGTCCACAAGTCCAGCAACTGTGAATAGATAGGAATGTGAGATCAGAAAGGAAAAATAAACAGGAATAATATCATCATCATCATCATCATCATCATCATCATCATCATCATTAGTTATTATTATTATTATTATTTTAATTGTTATCATCATTAATTTACATTTGTATTTTGCTCAATTGTGCACCATTATTACTATTATTATCATCAATTTATTTGTTATTAATATTATTAATGACTACTACTAAATTATGTCATTACTGTTATTGCTATTATCAGCATTATTACTTATTATCACCATCATTTATAGATTATTTTAATTGATTAAAATCCTCTATGAATCAAATTTAAAAACTAGCATTTAATTGTACTGATAATAATAAAAATGATGCTATATTATAACTATTACTATCTTTGGCATTATAAGTATTATTATTAATATTATTATTATAATAATTATTATTTTTAAAGTGTTTGTTACACTGTAGTACAACAGTATCTAACTAGGAAAGGTCTGGATATTTCACTAACTCCATACCTGTAAAAATACCACCAACTATAGCACAGACTCCAGTCAGAAAATGCATGAAGGATCTGAAGGTAATGGGAGAGAAAAGATAAATCATAGAATTGCTTCACAAACAAAAGCACATGTATAAAAAAACACCCAGACACAGTTAATAAACAAGGCAGCCAATCTCAGGAAACTTTCTGTGTGAAACTAGCACTGTCACCCATAATTTAAATGCTATTTCTACTAAAAATAGCAAGACTAACAAACAAGAAACACCCTAAATCCCAGTTAAGCAAACAAGGAGGTCAAAGACAATGACACCAAAAAAATAGAAGTCTTTTGAGGGTAGAAGTTTGACTTGGAGAAATTTAACACATGGGTGTAACACTACAGAACAACTATATAATCCAACAATTTGCGGCCTTACCTTCTGCTCTCTGTGTACTGAACCACCATCGGAGAGAATTCATATAAAACAAAAACACCTATGAAGAGAAGCAACAGAAAAAGTTGGGTACAACTGTTTTTGGACCCTATTATCCCTAAAGCTAACCCCAGTCTCTACAACGAAAAATGACTAGGAGTATTGCCACCCCTGAAAGAATTGCTGGGCAATCATAAGAACACCTTCCCCCTTCCCTTCCCAAATTTTTGCGAAAGAAAACTTTGACTCCAAACTGGCTGCAAAACTAAGTGGAACACAGATTTAAACCATACCTGGAAGACCATGTTCACCAGACACCTGTCTTATCACTCTCTTGTGCTTAGTGACTGAGAACTGGTTAGTTCTTACAACCTGCATAGGCATCCCATAGAAGAAACAAAAAAAAAATATTCAAAGACTCAACATACATGTAGCTTACAATATCAACAAGCATTTCCCAGTAGATAGACAATGAAATTAAAGAAAATATAACTACAGTGAAGGAACCTTTCTCCTATCTCCTTTGTAATTAAGATGTTGACTGGTACTAAAACAATCTATTGAGCTGCCTCTCTAATAAGTCACTCTTGTGTTAATTTTTTTTTTTTTAATCTCTGATCAAAAACTGTTAAAGACTAATTTTGCTCTTATTCGTTTGAGGTGGGTAGGTCTGTTACTCTCACCTCGCCATTTAACTTCCGATACATTGTTGGGACAATCTTCACAAAATACTGGTACATGCTTCCAGCTACAGCCATGAACAATGAAAGAGTTCAAAAAATATGTTAATAGTTAGAAGAACCTTTTAAATATCATTAAAAAGCTATGCATTGGCAACAAAAAATAGGCAAGGTTTAGAAGAAGCATTTACTTTAAAATGAATTGTTTGGGATCATTTTAAAAAATAATAAAGAAAAGGAAGAGAAATATTTATGGCAAACTTACAGTCTTCTGCAGAAATATATGTATCATCTAAGGGATGTTTTATTCCAGGGTATTCATGGCCAAATGAAAGGTGGCGAATATGATGAGACAGATTAAACTGAAACGAAAACAAAAGATTTTGATTTCATGTGAATCTATAGGGAAAAGACCTGTTTCTATGAACAGTTAACACAAAACTCTCTTTTTCTATTTATGACCAAGTCTAAATTAACTAACGTGAAACTTCAGATTTATAATAGATGTACAACACATACCTGAGTGGATCCAAATGGCTGTAAATCGTGCACTAATGAAAATAATTTTAAAAAAATAGTGTTACTATATCAAAGAACAAGTCAGTCAGCAAAACTGTTTGAGCTAAGTAATCTATGAAATCCTTGTCTGTTGGGTGAAACGCTTAGTCAAAGACAAAAACTGTGCTCTGATAAATGTAACTATGCATGATCATTTAATATCATAAAAGATTAGAAATCAAGGGTACTTAAATTTAGTTTCCATGATGTTCAACTTTCCAAAAACATTTCTGAGCATAAGCCTCAAGTAAATCAAAAAAAGGAAGCATATAAATGTAAAACTGAGTTGTGCACCACTGTTTTCATGTTTTCTTAACACAAAACGTGATTTATGGAGTATTATAAACATAACCTAAATCTTTTATTTTCTTTTCCCTTCTTTTTTTCTCTTTTTACTTACAACTCTGTAAATCTTCAAAATAACTACAGAAGCACTTTCTGTCCACTTATTTCAATTTCTTTTGGTTGAAAGGTACACCCAGTCTGAGCAGAAAATGTCTAACAATGATTCTGTAAATTATCCTTGAATTTGTTATACTACAATAACATTATGTATCAGTATTGTAAATATATCTTTGTATTTCTGATTTCACAACCAAGTTAAAGTTTTAATAAAAAGTAAACTTTCATGGTTTTAAGTTAGACAGCATTTTCTCAGTTATATTTGCCTCAAGTTATAGTTTATATGTAAATTTTAGAACATAGGTACCTAATTTATCATATTTTAATTCAACCTTTAAAGTATCTAAAGGCATTTAGTTTATCAGTATAGAGCTCTTGGACAGCAGAAGTGTGAGGTGTGCAGTGCATTCACTTCTATGCAGCAAAAGACAGCCCCTTCACCATAGTGCAATGCTATATGAACCAATGTTTATGCCAATGCCTATGCTTGCATGAAAAGCCCATGAGGAGGAATTTGATTTGTCTACAGTCTAAATCACTCCATGTAAATGACTGTCTGGCAAGAAATGACTGCCTTGCACTCCAGTTTAGCACGATATAACAGCCTTTTACTTACTATTCAGTTTAATAACATTTCCCCCTGAGCTTAACTTGAGAATGGAGACTGCAAAGTGCAAAAGGGTGTGTGAGAGGTGTGTTAATGAGGCAATGAATAGTGTTAAGTACAAGAATCACTCAGACCAATTTATTGATTGGAGTGTAACTGATTTTAAAAAAATTAACAAACGTTATTTATTGGTGTTTTAAATGTGTTCACTGATTTTGTACTCAGTAGTAACATTTTATTTTTTTTATGTTTAGATGCATTAAATTAAATAAATTCTAATGAGTTGTTTAAATTCTAGAAGAGAATAGTAAGTTGGATGCAAATTTACCATGAGCATGTACAATACAGCACAGTGCAGTACAGAAGTAATTGTGTGTATGGTCAAGGTTTAAGTGAAATAATCCTGATTAAATTTATTCTACACAGCTCACAAAGCATACATGTAGATACAAAGAGCTCTTCCAAAATTCAAGGGAACAGTGACATAATTTTGAACTGGTATCAAAGCAATGCAAATTTACCTAACACACAATTAGCACTTCCCATTAGAGACAATAACATTTGCTGTCATTAACAGAATCAAATGAGTTGATGTTAGCATATACATGTAATATTTTATGCATTAAGCAGGGAGAACAAAGTCTGCAGTATCTACATCTTTGCCTGAACTTCAAAGACACCATTGTAACTGCCAGTTGAACTCTAATTGTGGTTACATTTTGTTCTTTAGACAAAGTAACAAAAAAAGAAAAGTTCTTTTGCCTGGCTACAAACTCAACTACCCCCACAAGCCAGGTTTTTTTTTACCCTCTGAGTAAATTGTGTGCCAATGACTTCATTGCTATAGACAATTATTCTAAGCCCCTCAAGCTACTGTATCAAGAAAACACAAGTTTTAAATTAATCATGCACCTCTCTGCTCAGACTGAGCATACCATGTACATTTTAGTTTTCTGTAGCAAAAAAATTTTGTGAACTTTGACTTTAGTATGTAGGTCAAATTCCTATGTCATGCTATTTCCATGGCAACCACCTATTAGTATACTATTTGCTAAGATTTTTGCAGCTTCATAGCTGCCAATGAAACTCTAGCTGATCCTTCAGGATCAAAATGATGAGAATCACAAAAAAATGAACAACTTTTCACACCTTGATCAGTTCTTAAAAAATCTACACAGCTTTGGTGCACTGTCAAGCAAATGGGTGATGAAATGCAAGTTGAGTCAATTGGGAGACACTGACGTAGAAATTTGTTGTCTTCTTTTGAGAGAATTGCCTTTCAGATCTTAATAGTTTAGGGATTAAATTGACCCCTTTTAACAAAAGGTTTATCCTGTTAACCAAAATTTCATATATATATATCATTTGTAATTACCTTTGTGCTGTTATGACCCATTCAATTTTACACTGTTTTCTCATTTACATTTATTAATTTATGCATTTTATTTATCCACTTATTTATCTATTTCATTTCTTTACTCATTCATCCATTTGTTTTTTAATAAATGATTTACCAGTAGTAATAGCTTCCAAAGTTAGGTACAGTTTCAGTTCAGTTCAGCTCAGTTTAGAAATTAAAAAAAAATGACAAATAATCCTTTCAGTTCACCCTACCATGAACATGATGTTGTTGAAAACTTTTTCCAGGGGCGAAGTGAAAGTTCCCAGCCACCTATGACAGTTGAAATTACAACAAACTGAGCAATACTGAATGAACAGCATTTCTGGACAATGAAAGGAAATTTGTATAACATTGTGTGGAAAGAAATACTCAAACTTCATATTCAATTAAATTTCATAACAAACCTTGTTAACTTCCAGATGACCCGTCACTAAACAGCCTTCATTTTTCTGCTCTTGAAGTTTGTCTTTCCAACCTTCCCTGAGACACTGAAGTTAAAAGGTTCAGGAATTGCAGTTTTAATACTGTTGCATAAAAAATGACTAAAATAAGAGAAAAGATTACAGATTAAGAACATAAAAGGCTTAAGGAACAGAAGAGGACTCAAGCTGAGGATGTTTCGTTTTGAGACATTACCTGTTTGATGTTGTCTATTTCTGATAATGCCCATCCTTTCCTTCTGTAGGCTTCCCTCACATCTTCGCATGTATTACAGCAAGTCTTTCCAGCTGTCTCTGCACCATAACAAGATTCACATCTGTTGGGATCAAGCTGTACAGGAAATAATCATGTGGTGAATTAAGCAACAGTCTGGAGTTTCACTTCATCTAAGATTACATGTGTAAGAACCCAACTGTGATGTTGTGAGAACAAAAAAAAAAAAACTTTTCAGATCAGATCTGTGGTGAATTAAGCAACAGTCTGGAGTTTCACTTCCTCTAAGATTACATGTGTAAGAACCCAACTGTGATGTTACAAGAACAAAAAAAACTTTTCAGATCAGATCCTCTAACTGATAATTATTTTTGTTTATTCTCAACACTTGTCTGTTTGCTGTTGTATTGATTTGGTAAGGAGAAATTCCATCTTGGTCACTCATGGGAGTTAAAGGGTTAACTCACCTCAAGTAACTCTTTGGCCTCGTGGCTCTTATCACCTAAATCTGTTTAGGAGAGAGAAAAAATAAATTGATTTATGTATATTCCTATAGATCAAACTCAAAATTGTTAATTTTACAGAAAAAAAACTTGTACTACAGTTTGATGCAAATTTATTTACCAACCTCCTTTTTCTGCATTTTCGTCAATAGGTTTTCCATCCAAATCCACTCTTGTTTTAAATATACTATGCATTACATCAATCTGTGTGCAAAATAAATAACTATTACATACACCACTGCTCTAAACATTGATAATAATGTAAATAGTATAATTATAATAAACCCTTTACACCCTAACATCAGTATGCATATTCTCCATACTGTTCTCTATACATTTCCTGAGGTTCTGACAAGGAGAATTTGTAAAACAGATAAGAGTTTGTATGGTCAGTGATCATTTCTGTTACTCTTGTGACCTCCACATTTGATTCCAGTATAATATTCTAAGGAGAAATTAGATGCTAGTCGCTCAAAGGAATTAAAGTGTTCATTAATTTTAATATAGTTTTCAAATCAATTCACACAATACCTGTTGCTCGCCAGATACATCCATGGCATCTATACTTAAATCTGAAATAAAATCAGACATGAATAAGTTTCACATACTGGTGTAATTTTTAAAGTTGGCTAGTTTTCGTTCTGAAACCATACAAGTCTTTAAATTCATAGGTTATAATAACTTGATCACAGTTTTGAACAAGGCCTTTACCGCACTTGATACATATATTGCTGATCATTGTAAATTTCCTATCCAGCCATCACGATAAAGTCTTCTTTTAAAGGAGAACACAGTGTAATCCTGCAACACCTACTTCTGCTGCTGAATTATGTGTTTCCCCCCATGAATAAAATATGACCACAGGTTACTAACTTATAGCTTTATTCCTTGGGTAGGTATTTCTTTCAATACTTCCATACACTTCTCCCAACCACCATTGGTGGATCAAGAGTGGGAAGACTGTAAAATGCATCCACACGCAGAACAAAAATCACCAGTCAAATTTTGACTTCTGCTATATCTGGTGCACACCATACAAATATTATTCCCAACAGTTCAAGTATTAGTCCTTTGTCAATGCTCTGACAAAGGACAAATGTTCGAACTGTCAGTTTTAAAAACTCTCTATGGTGGCCGATTTACATTACCAACTCAGCTGATAAAACCAAATCAACTCTAAACCCTTTAATTAACTCCCAAGATCTCACTAGTAATTCTCCTTACTGTCTGCTATACAGTTCTTGTGATATTAGTTTGAGAATTTGGTATTGGATCAACTTATAATTCCCTAATTGATATTTGTCTTTATTCTCGTCACTTGTCTACTTGATATTGTATTGATATTGTAAGGAGAAATTCTGTCTTGGTCACTCATGGGAGTTAAAGGGTTAATATCCCCAAGGATGTAGCTTCACAGCTTCTTTAGAAAATCATCCTTTTTAAAAAAATATTAAACTCTTATCCTATATGTCAGTTGTCTACAACAAAATTAAAACTGAAAAAAGTACTTACAAACACAGGGTAATTTTGAGAAAATGATATCTACATTAATTCTAAGCTTTTCTCCACGGGCAGTATCAACATATAGTTCTGGTGTAACCTGCAAATTAATTATTTCAAAAATTTGTCAGTTGATGAAATCACATTTTTGGCTTAAAAAAGACTAAAGAGTTTGGCTCATAAAAGACTTAGAAAAGGAAATTTCTTACATTTAAAGCCATAAGTAACTTAATATAAAATATTCTGTCATTAATAAATCTCTTACCTCTGTTGATAAGTAAAAACTTAATTCTGATACAAACAGAAGGAACATCAGCAATCCACTAACCAATGTCACTGAGGAGGAATCAAAAGAGAAATGTAATAATAAAAATAATAATAAAAATAATAATAATAATAATAATAATAATAACGGTAATTTAGCAGGGGACATTCCACAGCATAGCTCTACTTGTCCACTGTTTCCAGGTCAAACTGGAATTTGGGTGTTGTTTTTCGTTGAGGGCAGAAACCAGAGGACACAGAAAGAGGTTTTACACTACCACGAGCACCAACCCAGAGCACACTTAATGGTAATAGACAATATTTAAAACATAACATAGGAATTATTATGTAAAGGCCTTAAATTCAAGTTTAATATGCAGGACTCCTGGCTCTTTTTTCTATATATCTCCATTATCTAAGAGGTTGTTGTTGTATGATGTAGATAATTATTTCAGGCCCCCCTCAACACATGGACGCATTTGATTGGATAAACCAACTGTCAGAAAACCAGACCGTCGGATACGCGGATAGGAGGTGAAACGAAGACATGGGTCAGTCAATCGACACGTTTGTCACTAATTACTGCTTAAAAGTGGCTTAAAGACTTGATTTAAGATCCTGAACACTGGCTAGCCGTATAAACATTATATTTTTACGATTATCATAAAATGATTACACATGCATCTTCATGGTTACCGTAGAAATCGCCACGTAACAAAGTGCATAACTAACTTTGCAAAGGTTTTCCCACAAATACACATAAAATAGTTTACATTTTAACTACCAGCTATTTTGATGATTTCAATAACCCAACCAGATTAAAACACATATCATTTGTCTTTCACTTAGCGGCAGTATGTGACTAATTTTACCTCAACTAAATCCTATTTAAAGTTACAAGCTTCATAGCATACCTGCCGCTCCACCGAAAGTTTTCACTCGAAAATCTTCGAGCGTCTTAGGGTATGCGTCGAACTTCTTTAACGTGCTTACTATATCCTTTGATTGCATCTTGCTGCTTCAATTCCTGTGGAAAATTCTACTAGTTTTACGTACTTTTATCCATTAATTCTTGGGCCGACAGGGAAATGAAAATTTCGCTTAGAGGGACTCGGTTGAACACGCATGCGTACCATGTTTCAGTTCCGTGTCAAACCATCGCCTGAGTCCTCCCTACTGAAATCCTGCCTTGCCTCCATGGAAGATGGCTGATTTAATTATTATGAAGACGAAATTTGGTTTCAGGTTTACTTCCTTCGAATTTTGGTAAATTTCTCAGCTTTTCATTGAGCACGAAATTTAGAGCTTGCTGCGGATTTATTATATTATCAAAATATTTCTGACGCTTTTGGAGGTTTAGTTGCATTGCTTCGAAAATTAGTACTAAAAAATTGTCTATGGGGGTCATTTACTCCCCCTACCTTTATTTTATTCCGCTGTGCAATCGACTGTGTACGAATCACTGATCAATTTCGTTTCCAGAGTCCTTGTTTCCTTGATCAGTCGTCAGGAACGGACGACTCTGTGCGCTACAGCGGCCGTTCCGCTGGATAAGGTTAACGTAAGATCTGGTAATAAGATTGATCAGCAACAGATTTTCTCCGTCCTGCACAATTTCAACGCGCGTGTGCTAAACATGAAGCAAATGATGATGAAGAGCACGCAATAGTTTGCGCACGCTGCGCCCGTGATCTATGACCTCGTTTCCAGGTCCTATCACTTTCTCCTTCGAGGCATGAGGAGAGGACCTTGGGAAAGAGGTTGGGAGATATCCTCTCGTTCACGTCAGAAATCAATTATGAATCTTATTGGTTAATACAAGCGCGCGCAAATTTCTAGTTTGTGACATCACGACGAGAAAGATTAGTCGTTGGGCAGAAGAGAGTCTTGTTGACGACTGTTTGAAGATGCTCAACCTTTTTGGAAGGGACAGGTATATTTAACTCGCAGAGAGGGTAGGGAAATAAGAAAGTGCTGTTAGCTGACGAAGAAGGTAAATCCTCTCAATTGAAAGAGTTATTGTAACCATTGCTTTTCGTGGATTTTACGTCGTGGCGAAAACTTAGGTTTCCCTTTTGTCAACGTTGTATGCACTTGTTATTGCGTGGAAAAACTTCCTTCTTGAGTTATGATTACACCTTTCTGGCAATTCCTGGATAATTGCAAGTGCTCAGCTATGAGAAACCTATGTTGCACATCTGCGAGTTCAGGTTTGAATTTCAGAATTTATTTGTATTATCGCATTTTATTAATAATTATTATTCGTAAAACAAATTTCAAATTCACGAGAAAAATCTTTTGCAGACATGTTTCGACATGCCATCATCAATTTAGTGCGTTGTATCCGTTGAGTTTGTTTTTAAATGTTATATGCAAAAACGTTACATTAGTTTAAATAAATAATCGTGTGCGCAAATGTAATATTTTGAAGGTCAATTCACGTGAACAAACAATTACAATTCTCATCCGGGAGGATAAAGTATCTTTTTTTTTTTGGACTACTGAATTATAACACTGGACTGACGAACAACTTCTACCTTGTTTTTCCCCAATTATACAAACGGCCAAACAGAACAAGAGACATATCACAAAAAGTGAATGAGATTATAGGGTTCAAACATTGCCCGAAGCGCGGGAAACGTGAATGACCGGGCACCGATTGATTTAGGTTTTACATCTGATTGGTTAAGAGAATGGCGTGAGTTTTTTTTTAACCAATCACAGAGCGTAGTGAAGTAAAGCGAAACCAACGCAATTGAATATAATGACAGTCAGTTGTGTGTCCAAGATGGCTTCTTTTTTTGAAGAAAAGCCTTGATTCCTTCCTGCCCATCACGAAGCTTCAGGTTCTCAACCATCACTGCCTCCGCCTCTCTGAAAAGCAACAAAAATTAACTGCTACGTGAATATAGGAAAAAAAAAAAAAAAAAAAAAAAAACTATGACTCTAAATTCCGTTTTAAGCCTCACTAGGGTCATTTTCTCCTTTAAAGATTATTTAACTTCTAGTTCTAGACAGTAAAATGAAAAGCGCTCCTGTACACTTAATCATTTGGTATAGTGAGTTAGTGTTACTCCCTCCTCTAACAAGATACAAATCTTAAGCGATTGACGTCTTGTTCATTTGCGTTTTCCCGCTCTTCGGCAGTGATTCGCTTTCAATTCGAGATCTTATTGGTTTATGGTGATATTTTCCTTTGTTCTCGTGGCAATTGGAAATACATGGTTTCGTTTTGACAAAACTCATTTGAGAGGCGCTCTAAACTGGAATTATTCAATGAAGTTGCAGCAACATAAATAGATTCTAGACGTTCAAAATGTAAGTATTACAAATCTTAGTGGGCCTCGTAGCTAAAAAACCCCAAACAGTAGTTTCAACCGACCAAGCACCACATTTTCGCGTGAAATTTTGAGAAGATTTCTGTCATTCTTAGCTAAAACTCACACATAGGCTTGATCCCGTCCTCTCATGGTTTGTGAGTAGAAACATGACTTTCCCATAGCTACAACAGGCTGACTTAATGAAGCAATCTTTGTAGCAATCGCATTGACTTCTTCTTCTATTTTTTCCTCAGGTACAACCTTGCTAAGGAGGCCAGACTTAAGAGCATCTGTTAAATTGGGAAATAACACAATATGGTTGTTAGTTTGATATGATCCAGCATTCCATCAGTAGACTGAGCTGTTGGTGTGACTAGCCGTCAGCCGCAAAATAGATACGTTCTTACTGAAGGGGGGGGTAGGCATAAGGGGGGGGAAAATGTTCACATCGCAGGGATCTAAACCATGTTATCCTAACCCTTCTCTCTCGATACACCAAGTGAAGAAGAACTAAATAGAGATACAACTGTCACTTAAAAATCCTAAAATATCTCTAGCCAGGAAAAATGTCTTTACCATCTGCACTAATAGGGTTGCCAGTAAATAACATTTCTAATGCCACTTTTCTAGGTACAGCACGAGCCAAAGCAACTCCAGGAGTAGAACAAAATAACCCAATGTTGACACTAAAAAGTGAAAAACAACAACCAAACAACAAAATAAAACAATGTAATGATTTATAAAGGCTTTCAAAAACTATGAATTCTTAGACCTATGAGATTTCTGCAAGCCTTGTTATTCATGCTGATTTCATGTACAAGCGATGTAGGTTAATAGATGAAGATGGACAATGTAGACATAGTCTTGTAGCCTTTGCATGCAGTTCTTGGTTTTCCTTGATCATGAAGGCACCTTGAGCAATACACTCCAAGCTGTGACCATTTTGGTTACCATGGTGAGTATAAAACTATATTGGACATTTCAAATTTAGTGACCTGCCTTCAAATAGGTCAAGTAACAGGTTGTAATAATTATATTTCTTAGTGTTTGTGGTCTATTATTAAGAATTTTCATAAAATATAATTACATAATGCTCCTTTTTTTTTAATTTGCCTTTGTCTCTTTAGTTACATGTATCTGGCTTCAAGCCATAAAATGTTTGGCTAACCTACAAAAATGATTGGCAGCCATACTGTTTATTTCATGAACAAGTGGTGTTTTCTACAATTTTTCTACAATTTTCTATATTGTAAAAAGTGTCTCTTCTCCTTGAAGTCTTGTTTTTCAGTGCATACTCACCCTGGTGTAGCAAATTGTGAATTAGAGGAGGCTACTGCAATATCACAACTGGCTACTAATTGGCATCCTGCTGCAGTTGCAAGTCCTGTAAATTGTACACAAAATGATCCTTCAATAAGTTACAAAAAACTACTCTGTGAAAGCTGTAGAGTGAAAAGATTAATGACCATGAAGGGTTGCAAGATAATGTGAATATGCATTTGTCTCTAGTTAATCAATCATTTTCTTGGCATGATCAACCACAATTCTGTAAGGTTCTCTTACTCATATGGAGTACTATACAATGGGTTCAGAGCAACCTTATTGTTTTGATGATTTAACCCTTTAAGTCCCACTAGTGACCAAGCCAGAATTTCTCCTTACACTATCAGTACAATATGAAGCAGACAAGTAACGAGAATAAAGAAAAATATAAATTAGAGAATTGGTTGATCCAATTTCAAATTCTCCAAACTAACATCACATAAATTGTATGGCAGACTGTAGGGAGAATTACTAATGGATTCTTGGGAGTTAAAGGGTTAAAGTGGCTCTGAACCCAAAGAATCAATCATCAATCACCAAAGATCAGCAAAGAATTGTGCAAAAAATAAAGAGAGCACATTGACTAGGAAACAAAAACTTTCTTGCCAATATTCCTGCCCATAGATGTCAAAATGCACTAGCATTCATGTGAATTCCTATACCTACCATTCACTTGTGCTATGACAGGAACAGAAATATCCTGAAATATTTGAATTAAATTTTTAAAAAAAATAAATTTGTGTTTTATTGTTTAGAGGTTCTAAACTAATCATTTTTGTTTTCTTTTCAGTAAATTTTCAACAATTTCTCTGTGTGTTACTACAGAAATGACAGAAATTTAGTAACAATTGATGCTATCAGGTATAGTAGATCAACCTTTTCTTCCCAACCTCAATATGCATATTCTCCATACTGTTCTCTGTTCATTTCCTAAGGTACTGACAAAGAGAATTTGTTTGACAATCAAGAGTTTCTTTGGTTGGCAATCATTTCCTTTACACTTGTGATGTTAATGTGAGATTAAGGGGTGATATTGTAAGGAAAAATTAGATCTTAGTCACTCTTAGAGGTTTAGGGAATAAAAGAAAAACTGAGTACGTTAAATTACACACCTGAACAAGTGTCATGACTTCAGTGCAACGATGAAAGATTTGGGCATGATGGTCAGTTCCTTCTTCTTCTGTCTGCAATTTGTAATAGAAAAAATTCTCATTCAGTGCTCAATACACTTTGCAGGCCAGTTTGAATATTTTAAAACTACTTCTGAGGACTAGATTTGTGGTGATAATTGTCTTAAAATTTTTTGAAAGGGTAGCCTGCTCCTGCAAAACATAACTTAAATGAACATTTTTTTAACACCAAAAGAACTTATAAGGTGATGATCAACTACAAATTGTTGATGGTAAAAGAACCTAAGAAGCAAATTTAGCTTTTTAAAGTGCACCAAAGCAGTTTATATACCATTGATCACCAACTTCAAGTCCTCTGCCAAACCAACACAGCTCAGCAACCTAGTCATTTTGCTACAAGAACTGTGGCCTTACCAGTTCTTTAAGGTCATGTCCAGAGGAAAAAACACCTCCATTTGCAGACAAGACAATAACTCTAAGTTCAGAGTCTACATTTTGAAGTAGGTTTGACTTAATTGCATCCAGCATTTTCAAGGAAAGGGCATTCCTGAAGGGAAAAAAGGCACACTATTATTAATAGTAATAAATTAATAACAATTTTTCACATGGCTTCAGCATCCGCACAATGTTCCCAGCCAAACTAACAGTTTCTTTCACGTGCAAGCACTCATGAGTTTCATTCCTCTAGTTTTAGGGTAATGATTGAAGGACTTTGTGTAGTTATTACCACTCATTCAATGGTTCCATATGACTTGGCAAAGTGTGTAAGAAAGTAACACGAAATCTGCAGCCTCAAAGTGATTGCCACAGTAACAATTATGAGTTAGTGCTTTACCTTCGTTTTGGATTGTTTAGTACAATTCTCCTTATGCCATCTTCTTGACTGCAAATCGTGAGACTCTCATCTTTTGTTTGACTCAGAAACCTCTTGCTTAACTGAAGAGCAGCCAGAGAGTCATATCAAAAGTCAAATAATAAGCTTAAGATTTTTATTGCGTGACAGCTGATAACGGCTAAACACAAATTAACAATCATGCATAGAAATCAATGGCAAGTAATCAAATTTATTTAGTTTACTATCTACAAGATTCTACAAAATAACAGATTTATGTTCTCATTTTATATTTTTCTTAACAGCACAATTTTAGAATACTCAGCTAACTAACTATCTACAAGGGGTTATATTATACGCTGAATTGTACATTGTATTTTGATTGGTTCACAACTATGATCTCTCGGAGGACAGACGCACGAAAGGCATGTTTATGAGAAGCACTCCTATGAAGTGCGGTCTAGAACAGATATAATTACCTGGGCAGTCAGAGATCTCTTAAAAGGAACACGTCTACAGACCGATTGCAACATTTTGTTCGTGTCGAAGACAACTTATAATGAGTGTCATGTAAGCCTCATAGTATGTCCACACGGAGAAGATGGCGGATATTCTGATATAGTCAGGTGAAATTGTTGCGTGGGACTAGGGCTGGGAAGGAAAAGGACCTCGGGGCCATTTCTCGAAGGTGCCGGTACCTTAACGAGCCGGTAAAGCTGTTCTGTTAACGGTCTTGGTATAGTTTCGAAAAGAAGTAAGTCTAATTTACTTTTAAACAAATTTTCATAAAATTCAGGGCCGTGCAAGGAAAGATCCATATTCATATTTTCTGCAAGGAATGGTAGAACATATAGCAGCAGCCGAGCATTCAACAGTATACTAAACAAAATTCACAAAATTGCCATCTCCGAGGTGAACTGGGACGACTCAATTGATTACCAAGGGACATGATAATTATTTTATCCTGTAACTTGGAAATGACCGTTGAGCGGTCGAGGCATCGTTACTTTTTAACGTTATTTGCTCAGTTCCATGTTAAAACAGACAACCTTTATTCGAAGAGACATTGGCAAAGTGAAGAAAATTGTTACACAAACGCGTCGACGGGTGGTCGTTGTTAGAGCTGTTTTTCAGCTGCTGTTTTCAGCTGAGAACGCCGGCCATTGGTTCGGTGGCAAATTTTTGGCGTATCCAAATGTTTCGACATCCAAGACTCGCATTTGATAGGCTATCTGTGAGTTTCTTTGACTATTGACCAATCAGAATGTCTGGTTTGTTACTTCTTTGCACTGAAGTAACCCTCTTCCGCTTTGAATTACCTTAAAACTGCATTCATCTTAACCAATCAGAACTGAGTAATTTTTTCATGTATATTATTTACTACGAAATCAAACAAAGTGCGGTGTTCGTGTTTATGATAATTGCATAGTTGTACGTGTTGTGCGAGTGCGAAGGTGACAATGTATTGCAACATAGTGCAACAATTTTTATAGTAAAATCTGTTTCTAAAAATTGTTTGATTCTAAGATAACTTTCTAATGTAAAGTTAATCGGCGAAGAGACATCGGTAAAGTGAAGAAAATTGTTCCGCAAGCGCGTCAACGGGTTTTTAACGAAGGCTTGTCGAAATTGGATCTGGCGTGGGTATCCTCAAGGAAAAAAATGTTCAAAATCCTATCAATGATTCTTATTCTGGGTAAGTACTACTCGTCTACTTTGTGAAAGTTTATTTCTTTTTTGGGGAAATTCTGTAGCCCGTCACCAAATGAATCCAAATGAAAGAGAATCTAGATTGTCATTCATCTGCTACGTGATGTTCAAACGAATCAAACTGTTGAAACGTGGTGAACTTAACTCGCTGTGTAGTTTAGTTGCCTCATACCATGTGGCAGCGCACAAAGGATTTTGTTTTTTGTTTCTTACATGTAAAGTCAAGCAGCCAAGAGATGTTGGTAAAGGAAAGATAATTGTTCCGACAAGCGCATCAAAGGGATTTTAAATTAGGCTTGCCGAAATTGGATCCGGCGTGGGTATCCTAAAGTGTCCCAAATCTTTTTAACAAGTGTTCCAAATCTTTTTCACAATTTTTACTCTGAGTTAATACCACACGTCTGCTTTGTGAAAGTTTATTGTTTTTTTGTGGAAATCCTGACACGTTCTGGCTCCATAAAAAACCAAGGATACACATTGTTTTGGGTGAAGCTACTTTATTTCTATGTAAATATTTTGGAGTTTTACGTCAGTAAAGCAGTTTTACAATTGATTACCTAGGGGCATGATAATTATTTTATCCTGTAACTTGGCAATGAGCGTTGAGGGGTCGAAGCGTCGTTGCTTTTTAACGTTATTTGCTCAGTTATATGTTAAAACTGACAACCTTTATTCGTATAGGTAATCACATGATTTCGAGTGCAATTTGGAATAAATAAGCACGAGTAACTTTTTCATAGAAAACAAAATTACATGAGCCCGTAGGGTGAGTGCAATTTGTGGTCTTTGAAAAAAATTCCACCTGCTTTTTTATTCCTAGTAATATACATGAAAAAATTGCTCAGTTCTGATTGGTTAAGATAAATGCAGTTTTCAGGTAATTCAATGCAGACGAGGGTTAATTCAGTGCAAAGAAAGTAGGAGCTTCATTGTCACGCCTGCTTGGATCCATTCATTCGCTTGTCCCGGAGGATTAGTTTGTGTCAATTGGAAAGCCTTTGGTATCTCTCGTATCCTAAACTACCAAAATTGTTCCGCTACATTTCAACTTTTATTACGTGCTGGCGATATTGCCTTGAATCCTGGGCCTGTTTCGGTGGAGAATCCTGCTCAAGAAACACGCAAAAAGTCAAGTAAACAGTCATCAAGAACTCCAGCTCCAGTCTGCCTGCAGTGTCTGAGAGGTGTCCGGTGTAACGAGAAACGCTTCTTTTGTGTTTTGTGCAAATATCTAACTCTCGCCCGGTGTACTGGAATCACTAATATTAATTACATCAAACCCACACGGGCTGAAGAGTGGACATGTCCAAAATGTCTCATTTCAGTACTGCCTTTCTACGGCCAGAATACCTTGCACGCTTCTGTGTCACCCTGCAACGAAGTTGACACAACCCTTGCTGAAGACCTGCATTTGGAAGCCTTGAAGCAAAATAGCAAACAGCTAACCGTCATGCATATAAACACCCAAAGCATGATTTCCACCTCTGATAACTTTTTGTTAGCCGTCGATCGTTACAAGTTTGATTTCATTACTATGAGCGAAACTTGGTTGAAAGAGAACCACTTTTTACTTTAATACGCTACAATTCCTGGTTGCACCCATGCTTTTAATAACAGAGATAAAAAGAGGGGCGGCGGTGTAGGAGTGTATATTAAGGATTCCACCAAGTTTAAAAGACGATCAGACATTCAAAAGAGATATCTCACCTTAGAACATTTGTGGCTGGAAATCCCAGGTTGCAATAAGCATAGTAGGCTCCTCCTGGGAACCATCTACCTATCAGAATCCATGGTACCTTATAGCGATTGGATAGTAACATTTGAATCCCTGCTGAGTGACTTAGCAATTCATTGGGACGGCGCACTGCTCCTGACTGGCGATTGAAATGTCGACCTTCCGCGACCTAATATCCCTGCAACTAAGAAGTATAGTGATATTCTTAAAACCATGAGTCTGCAGAAGTTTGTATCGAAGCCAACACGTACTACATGTACTCAACATTCATCAACCCTCATTGACCATATCATCACGAACATACCTAACCAGGTGACTCACACTGATGTCATTTCATCTCTTATGATAAGTGATCATGACGCACCTTACGTTTGTATCAACGTTCGCATCACTAGATTTGTCCCAAGGTATAAATTTATCCGGAACGAAAAGAACTTTAACGCTGATGCTTTTATTGAGGACTTTGAACAGCTGCCCCTAAGTATCGTGTATTCAACCGACGATCCTGACATGCAAGTTGATCTTTTGAGCTCCCTTATCCGCGAATGCATCGACCGCCATGCGCCCTTAAAACGCACTAAAGTCACACGTCCTCCTGCACCTTGGATGAAGGACTTGGATATACAACAACTTCAAAAAGACTGTCTATCTCTTCAGACTTCCGCCCGGGTAAGGCGATGCTGTTCTCGACTCAACAACTGGCTCTTGTGCATAAGCTTGATGAATACCCGATCAACCTGCATACAAATAGTGCTAAATTAGAACGAATCAAAACCACTCGATTACTTGGCACAGAAATCGACGAAAACCTGAAATGGAACGATGACATTCTTTCCAAAATATCAAAGTGCTACAATACTCTTGCTGTTATCAAGAAACTCAAGAATCTTACCCCTTTCCATGCCAGGAAACGTCTGGCAGAGAGCCTTGTGTTGTCGTTAATCGATTTCAACGATATAGTATGTCATCCCATTCCTAGGTACCTGACGCAGTGACTCCAACGTGCCCAACTTGCTACGGCAAGTTTTGTTTACAATCACTATGCGGATATTTCGGATGTTTTGAAACTCGGATGGCTCCCCATTAGTTATCGTCGAGACTATCGCATAACTAGGACGATATGGAAGGCTTTATACCAAAACTGCCAGCCAACCTGCCTTAAACTGGTCGAACATAGACCGGCAAGGGCTCTAAGATCCTCTCGTGAGCGTCGCCTTGAACCATCGACTGTTCCTGGAACACTACAAAATTCTGCTGTGAT